GCAGCTTGGAAGACCAAAAGCCGACGACCGACTACACGGCGGTCGTTGCAACGCCCAAGGCCAATGACGACGCTGCCGACGTGCCCAAGGCGTCGTCGACTATCGAGAGCTGCTCGACGGCGTTCCTCTTCCTCCTCTGCTGCCCCAAGATGGCGCTCAACGTCGCGTGGGCGGCGCAGTGGGCGGCGCTCGGCCCGCTCCTCCAGATCCTCATTCCGTCGTCGTGGGTGCAGATCGTCCAGCTCGTGGGTCCGATCTCCGGTCTCCTCATCGCGCCGTCCATCGGTGTCCTCAGCGACAACTGCACGTCCAAGTTTGGTCGCCGCCGCCCGTTCCTCTTTTGGGGTGCGCTCATGAGCTGCCTCTGCTGGCTCGTCATGATGTTCTGCACCGACATTGGCGAGGCGCTCGGCGACACGCCCGCCAAGCTCCTCGACACGCTGCCTCAAGACCAAGTCTCGCGCAAGTGGACGACCGTCTTTATCATCCTCACGTACATTTGGATGGACATTACGCTCAATTTGACGCAAACGCCGCTCAACCTCCTCATCGCCGACTTTGCCGGCGAGCGCCAAGTCACGGCCTCGTCGCTCGGCAACGCCTACTCGATCGCCGGGTCGTTCGTTGTCTCGGGCTACATCATGGCGTTTGGGCCTGCGCACGAGAGCGTCAAGCCCTTCATGTGTCTTCTGATCGCAGTCATGCTCATCACGGCCGGCGCCGTGCTCTACTTTGTCAAGGAAAAGGTGTTTGTCGCGCAAACGACGAGTGTCTCCAAGGCCCAAGAGATCAAGAACGCGTTCGCGGCTGTCTGGACTGGCATCCGTCTCCTTCCCAAGACGCTCGCCATCTACTGCGTCATCATCGTCTTTGTGCAGTATGGCTTTACGGCCTACATGGGTGCGAAGGGCCAGTTCTTTGGTCTCGTCGTCAAGAACGGCTCGTCCGACAACGCCGACAAGTGCGGCCACGACGGCAACCCCGCGTGCTCGGTCCAGCAGATCGCCTACAACGACGGCGTCCAGCTCGCGGGCGGCGTCACCGACACGATCTACAACTGCGTCTCGCTCCTCTATCTGGCCGTCCTCCCGTACCTCGTGCGCAAGTTTGGCGTCAAGAAGGTCATCACGGCCTCGATCGTCCCGCAGATCTTCCTCATCGCCATGGCCTACTGCAAGGTCGTTGCCATCGACATGATCATCGTCATCGCGTGCGCGTTCACGCAGAACACGCTCCTCTCGCTCTTCATGGCCACGATCATCCACGTCATTGGCCACGAAGAAAACTCGGGCCTCGGGCTCTTTGCCGGCGCGCTCAACTCGGCGTACTGCGCCGGCCAGTTTCTCAACTTTATCTTTTCGTCGATCCTCGTCACGTCCTCGATGGGCTACGCGCTCCCGATCCTCGTCGGCGGCGTCCTCTCGGCCATCGGCTTTCTCATCTCGCTCGTCTTCTTCAAGATCGAGCTCTACTCGACATAACGTCAACTAATGTATGCAAGCTGGGGATCGTACCCACGTCTGTCGATTCAAGTGGAGCGCGTTTGGATTCCCAATCGTCTCTTGGTGGCACTCGCAGGCACGCATTGGTCATTGGATCTCGATTTACTATCCACAAACTATCCCAAACTGTCCAAAAGTATCCGATTCCACTTTCACCTCACAGGTGCATTGGGTAGTTAGAGTAGTCGTTGGTGCTATTTCGACTTGGTGGTGTTCGAGAGCAAGTGGCTCGCGAGCGGCTGACGACTCGACAGAGACGACAAAGACGACGTCGCACGCAGCTCGTCCTCTGTGCGCGCACCGACCTGTGGACTCTGGGTACGCTTGTACACCACCGTGTCCTTGTCGACGCGGATGGCCCACGGAACGTCCTGCACGCTGCAGGCAACGTCCAAAAAGTGGTTGAGGCGCGCGGTGCGGTCCTCGATCGCGATCGCCGTGCTGTGCCCAAACAGCTGCGTGTTGGGGAGGTCGGGCACCACTGGGTGCTTGGCGTGCAGCGACGCCGAGAGACTGCGAAAGGTCGAGTAGCGGTGCCACACGTACAGCGTCCCGCGGCGGTCGGTCTCTATCTGCAGCTTGTACTCAATGTACTGGCGACCGTCGCGCACGGCGACGCGGCTCGCGACGACTTTGGCCGTCACAAGCGAGATGGCCGTGGCACGCGCCAACTCGCTCTCGAGCCACAGCACGTGCTGCTTCAAGCGGTCGTTCGCACAAACCATCTCGTTCTCTGCACGCGCGGCGACCAGCGCAGCCATCTGGGTGCGCAGCAGCGCGTTCTCGGCGCAGAGGTGACCGTTGCGTTCGATCGCGACCTCGGTCGCCTTGCGCGCTTCGATGGCCGCCGTCTCGGCGTCTGCGAGTCGCGCGGCCAAGGCCTTGTGCGTTCTCGAGACGACGGAGCTCGTGTCGGCCAGTGTTGCTGGCTCCATCGTACTGTGCGTGGTGGCGGACGATGGGAATGGCAGAAATGGCCCACGATGCCAACTGGGAAAGGCCAGTGGAGCGTAAAAGCTATGGTGTAAAGTGCTGTCGTTATCGTCCGAGAGACTCGCAGTGCATCATTAGAAGAATGAAGGACCGCTGCTGGAGCATGGGCTGCCGTCCAAGCTTGGAGAACGAGGTCTCGCTCCGCTCCGCGCACGTCACGGCGTGTACGGTGCACGCGTCCCGAGGCGGCTACGGCTTGAAGTACGAACTTGAAATGATAGCGGTCGACGGTGACGTTATCCGCGCGTGGCTCGACTACGACACACTGCGCGCGCTTGCTGCGTCGCTGCGTAGTGCCTCGTCGCCCGACCTCCCGCGCCACATTGTCGGCGGGTCCCCGGACAGAGCTATCGTGGCCATGAACAGCTTCCTCACCGCCGCGCTGGCGGATGTCACGACTGCGTGGTCGTTTGGCTTTGACGACGGCAGTCTCTTCTCCAAGCAACGCGCCGACGTCACGCTCGTGCCGATGCGCACGTCGCGCGCCGCCTCGCACGCGATCCTCGAGTCGCCTGTCGGGACGCTGGATGCTACGTCAACGGTGCGCGGGTACCCATCTTTGGATGCCCGGGACGAGCTCGTGCCGCTGGCCATCACCGTCGTGGGCAGTCGTGTCGTGCAAGCGGCGTTCGCAGAGTATGGCCTGGAGATCGCGACATCGGAAGGCATGCTCGTGCGCGTGTGGCACCGCCACAAGGACCTGCGGGCGTTCGGCCTCTTGCTCAAGCGCGCTCAGCCGTGGGAGTGGAAGCAGCTGCCGCCCATGCCACCGCGCACGCTTCTCCGCAGCTTGCGCCCGTCGCTTTTGGCCGCCCGCGAAGGTGCGTGGGGCGCCTTCCTTTCCGCGCTGCTCACGTCCAGTACCTTGCGCTGGGCGATTGACATTGACGAGACGACGCGCGTCGTCAAGCGTCCGCTCGCGCTGCACTGCGTCGTCTTGCCTCTTCGTTTCTAAGTCGTGGTGCTAGCCATATAATAATCAAACACTATTGTGTCATCACATCGCAGACTACTTGTCCATTTTCATCTTCAATGGTATAGTTCAACATCCAGCCTACTAGAAAGTGCGGGTGGGCATGACATGCCAGATAGTACAAGCACAATCGCCAACCCGTTGAGGACACAGTGAAGAGCGTAACCCTAACCATGTCCGGCACCCCAATTATGATGTACGAGCACACCAAGCAGACACTCCTTGGATACAGCACATGAAGGCTATTAGGCTTTACTATGTACTAGTAGAGTCAAATGGTCCGTATGTGTGCACCACTAGCCAACATTTTGCAGGACCGTTCACAGCAGTCGAAATCCTACACGGCTTCTCCACAGCGCGTAAAAGCATTATCGTCGGCGTTTCTCCCATTTCACAAACACAAAATTTACGAAAAGGCAAGAAGAATGGACGACCGACCGAGCTTTGCAGCGCTCCGACAGGTGCTCTACCGCCGCGGCCAGCGGTCCATTCTCGATGCCGTCGTCGTCGACAGCCAAGTGCACGATCGCTACGGCGCCCAGGTCGTCGAGTTCCACCTGCGCTTCCGTACGAAACACCATGGCGACCTCCTCGCATGGCTCGACTACTACACGCTCTACGACCTCTCGCTGACGCTGCGCATGCGCGACGCCGAGCTGCCGCCGCTCGCAACCAAGTGCTTTTACCTCGAGCTCAACGACACGATCCAGCGCCTCAATGCCTTCCTCCACGCCGCCGTCATCAGCCAGCGCGTCGAGTGGAGCCTCCGCGTGTCGCCTGATCTCTGCTTGCACAAGCACCTCCCGTTCCGGTGCCCAGTGCTGCGTGACGGCGACCCCGATGACGCCGACAACAACAACCAGGATGATGATGACGCGTCAACAACTGAGACCGACCATATCGAGTCCTCGGACGTCGTCGATAGCACCTCGACCCGCATGTCGCTCGAACCAATGGCGGTCGAGATCGCCCACTGCACGATCCTTGGAAGCCGCGTCATCACGGGGCTCGGCAAAGCCTTTGTGCAATACGAGCTGTACGTGGCAACGACCTCGATTGACGATCCGAGCTTTCACGTCTGGACGCGGTACCGGTCGCTGCGCAAGTTTGCTGCGCGCCTCCAGCACCAAAACCCGGGGCTGCCCAAGCTGCCCCGGCGGCGGCTGGTTGGCAACCTCAGCAGTCGCACGATCGCCAGTCGCATCGCTCAAATCAACGGGTTCTTGGCGGCCGTGGTCGCCGACGACTCGCTCGCGTGGCATATGCAGCTGCGCGCCGACACGATCGCGTACAAGCACCGGGGTCGCGCCCGCTCGGCCGCAACAGCTACCAGTGAGTGAGGAGGTACGTGGCCGCGGGAGGCGTCGTGGTCTGTCGTAAACTACGTCACGCCGTTTTTCTGTACCAATGTAGTCTGTGTAACCGACTCTAATGTGACTCAAATGAAATTTTAGACTGGTTGCATTATCAATTTAAATTGTTCTTATTTGCCTATCGCTAAATATACGTCGTATTTGCGCACGTTTTAAGACGATGCTGTGTCAGCGATCGAGCAAAGCTGGCGCAGTGGCGCATTAAATTATTCGGATGCGTAGCAGCGGGCCAGACGCCGTGGACGACGACGAGCTGCGCGACGAGATGCGCCACGCGCTCGCGCAGGCGCGCACCGCGCTGGACGCTGCTAATGCGCGTGCCATCGAGCTCGAACGCGAGCGCGACGCGGCGCAAGCACAGCTGGTGTGGGAAGCCGACCGCCTCAACGTCGTCATTGCCGAGCTTCGCTTGGAGCTAGGGCAGCCGATGAGCGATGCGTCGCTGCTGAGCGCGATGGTCGTCGAGTGCCGCACGACGCCGCACGATGGACGGCCCATCGTCGAGTACAAGCTGGAACTCGTGACCAACTCGCACGGTACATTACACGTGTGGCACCGACATAGTACGTTCCGCGGTCTCGCCGCCACGTTGCGCCAGCGACATGCCGGCTTGAGCCTCCCGGACCTGTCAGAGAAGCCGACCTTTGGCGTCGGGTCCCGTGACCGGACGCGTGCGCTCAACCAGTTTCTCCACACGATCACGCACGCGCCCGAGTTGCAGTGGGGCATCCGCGTCGACGCCCACACATGCGTGTACAAGCGCCGGCGACCGACGCTGCGCAGCTTGGCCGAGCGACCATCTGTAGCGCCGACGATCGCGTCCTCGGACGACGAATGCTCGCCCCGCAGCAGCTTTGTGGTTCCCGCCATCGAATGAACGTTGAATGCAGGGAGAATACAACGTGTACGATTTGTTGATCCAGTTGCAGGGCAGGGTTGACTCGCGCCTTGATAGGTAGCGCACTCAGTAGGTGATCCTGGACGTCGGTGCAAGCGAAGTGAATAAGGCTTGCGCAGAGACGTGGGAGCTCTGGTGCAGCCAGGCGCGGACCAAGTCGAAGCAATAGGAACACTCTCACGATAGTTGAATGAGGTGCATTGTGCTCCGAGATCTAGCGATAGGACGCCAAGGTCATCGGGAAGGCCGACTCGCCAAAGCCCGTCCGCAGACCGACATGTTTGAGATGAGACGGAGAATGACCGACAGAGAACTCGGACGTGCTCGCGGTACTGCCCAAGCAAGAGCGCGCGGCGGCTTGTAGGTCGTCCGAAAGGCTTGTCTTCGCGTCTTCATGTGTGTGTGGATCGATCTTGCCGTGCGTGTCGCCCTGTTGGGTGAGCGGTGGCCGCCATCCTGTCGTACCATCTGGTCGCGTGGCGTCAGAACGGCCACGAAATGGCCACGTCATACACTTGGGTATCGTATGCCGGGTCGTCTGCTAGCCGTAAGCATCTCCGAGGGCAACCAGAACTGACCCACGTTTCTCGTCATCTCTGGTCGTCGCCAGAGCGCACTGAGCAGTACTAGTCTCTAAAGAGGTTGTCATCGCACTTGTGGCGACATACCAAACTTAAGTCTATATTCAACGCAGTCTACGACGGCTGGATCGGACCCGACGCAAGGAGCTTGGACGTCGAGAGCGCAGTGGCCGCGACCTCGACGCTGCCGAGGAGAGCGATGGCGGCGGCCACAATATCCGCGTCCACCACAATGTTATGGACCGTCGACGACGCCTTGTCGACATAAAAGTAGGTGACAACCGGCACGGCGAGTGTCTGCCCAATAAGCTTCTGCACGAGCAGCTCGTTCGCGAGCAGCGACGGGTAGACCATCGCGACCGACGTGCGCGAAAGACGCAAATGGAGGCGCACGCGGCACTTGACGACGATGTCGTCCTCTGTGACGGCGCACGTCTCGGCCGACTCGCACACTTGGTGGCACGTCGGAAAGACGGACGCGTACAGTGCGAGCTGCTTGAACATCATGGTGATGCCGTCCGCCTACAGAGGGTGGGTCGCATGCTTCTCTCGTAGAAGTGTACCTCGCCCATGAAGACGAGCGACGGCGACGTCATGCTGTGCGCGAACCGCAGCTGTCGCTCGTGCGTCGGCATGTGAAGGCCAAACTCAAAGTGGTGGTAAAAGTCGTGGCAGATGCGCGAGACGCCCGTGAAGGACGCGACGCTGCGCGGCAGTAGCCTCTGCTCGAGCTGCGTGATCTCGGACCAGAGCGTGGTCACGTCGTCGAGCAGCCGTGCGTCTTTGGCCTTTTTGCGTGCACGGTACCGGCGCTGGCTCGCCTGGCTCCGCAGTCGGTCGCGCTCCTTGGCCGGGTCCAGCAGCAGACCCGCGATGTCCATATCTTGATGCAATATCAGCAGTGCCATTCCACCAAGTATATTTTCGAACCATCGCCGGATCTTCGGGTCAGCACGCTGCTTGCACGAAACCGCGCCACGTCATCATGGTCACACAGACACAGCAAGTCCTGGTCACCAACTCTTTGTACTTGAGCGCACAACGACGGGCATCCAGCAACCATTGTCGCTGTCGTACCAATACTGATCTTGAGCGAGGTGAGCGGCAACGAGATGGAAAAGCTGAGGTGGCATCGTCAGCTTCGACTCTGGCAGTGACGGCGTGCGTTCAGCAGAGTGCGCTTCCTTTGTCATGCAAGCTGAACGACAATACTTGCCCGGATCCACACCGTCCCTTCCTTGGGCGTCGTCTCCGCCGAAGAACGACTGAGGTGGCGTTGCATCAGACGTTCGGACGCTCGTGAGGCGTACTCGGAGGCAAGAAGATTGCAGCCGACAGTTCGTCGACGCTGTCGTTGTAATGGCAAACGCGTTGCACACGCTTGCAACCTTCTGCAACGTCATTTCGTCAGCGCGCTAATATATCTGGCGTGATGCCGGCTAGGAAGCATGACATCGGCTCCTAAACGTATATTTACCGAAAAGCCTACCCTGAATTCATTTGTGCACGGCTGCAGTTGCCTCTTGTCATGGAGTCGTCGCGTCGTCTCGCTCGTGAAGAGATGATACTCGTAGCAACACTGCGTGATGATTCGCAACCACCCATGAGCTGGCAGTTTTGGTGCACGGACCCTCGACAGCTAATAGCGACGGACAGCAGACGCAGTGAGCACCTCCGACCGACCTTTCGCTGCTCCTAGCCCCGAAACGCAAACGGTCTCTGACGTACGACAGGAAACATCCCGAGCTGGCGGCGATACGTTACTATTGTGAAGGTAGCTCGTGAACCGGCGGGAGTCATTTCATGGCGTTCAGATGCCCGACTTGCGTAATGGAGCGTTCTACTCTTGGTGCACACGCGGCCACGGCGTTGTTTAGGGTCGAATCTGTCAAGATGCAGAGGGGAGACTTCGTCCAAACCAAGGAGTTTGAGCCCCGTAGGTGCTTTTCTTCTCTTTCCCATTGTGTTGGCATCGGAACCAACAAGTCGGTTCTTGCCAGAAGAATCGACGCCTCGTGTGCAAAGTTGGCGTGATGCTACTACCCTACACCTCTCGCTTACTACGTTTGGCGCCAGCGCAAATGGCTCCCGTTTGTTTTGCTTGCTGACGCATACCACGCGTGGCTAGCGTCGCGCGCAGGGACCTCGTGCACAACTAGAAGGTCATTCTCGGCATGAAGCATTAACTACCAATCTCGTATTTGCATACAGAGGTCACAACGCCACCACATTAATGCGTCGAGACGATGGTCACCTCCATCGCACGCATGCGGTGCGGTCAACGTTGTCCCTCGCTTCTCGCAAGATAATGGTTGACAGTTTCTCCAAAGGCGGTGCACTCCGTCTTGAGTTGGTTGAGGAGTGGGAGGATGCGTGGGTGATCAGACAGAAAGCGAGACACGGTTGCGCCATCGCCGCGCGTCCTGCGTGCGGTCTCTGCAATGTATGAGGTCCGAGGAAACGCGCGTTTTGGCGGTAAAACCCCTACAGTGTACGACCGTCCATCAAGCCACTTGGGTGCTTTCGTGCATCGCGGCGTAAAGACGCGCAGCCAACCGTTTGGAGATCGTTGTACGCGCTCACCGCCTTCTCGTGCCACCGCCGCTTCCTCGCACGCGGCTGCTTGGCGCCATCGACGACCAAGAGCACCACAGGAAGACCCACACATTACGCACCCCACGATCCCACACATGGGGCCGCTTGCATCTGGCTGCAAAAGTGCATCCCGCTGCGCGCAGCTGGCAGGACCAACATTCCGCGCGCGACCACTTTGCACTTTCTCGGCTATTTGACGAAATGACTCGACCCACCGTGAGTTTGACCGACAGCCCAGTCCTCGAGGCCAAGAACGCAACGCTGCGCACGTCGATCGAGGCCCACGTGGCGTGGCACGGCGACCCCGCGATGCTCGCCGACCGCGACCGCCTCACCCACGACCGCGACCGCCTCCGGTCGACGCTCGCCCGCGCCCAAGACATCCGCCTCGCGACGGCGTCGGTCGTCGGCTGCCGCAAGCGCGTGTGCGACGGTGCCCACTGCGCCGAATTCCGCATCCAAGTCGACACCGTTGCCCACGGTACGCTGTATACGTGGCACACGGAGGCAAAGTTCCGGGCTCTTGCCTTGGTGCTCACGGCCAGTGGCGCCGTCGTGCCCGACGTTCCGTCCACCGAGGTGCGCCGGTTCACCGAGACGGCGCTGCGCGAGCGCATGCAGCTACTCGACAACTTCTTAAGCAGCATCTGCGACAACAAGGCGCTCGAGTGGGGTGTCCGCGTACACGATGACATTTGTGTCTTCCAACTCAAAGCCCGTGCAAAAGCCACGCGGTATTCATCGTCGCAAGCGGCTCAAGTGCGCGCAGTCTTGGCGGCCATGACCGAAGACTGCGATGTGCACGACGAGTTCAAGCACCTGCGCGCGCGCCTCGCAGAGTACACGAGCGGCGACGTCAATAAGATCTTGGCGGCCGAGACAAGCGCCCTCCAAGACGACGTCCGCACGCTCCAGCGCCTCGTGGCGGCCGGTGACCGCATCTACATGCTCAGCGCGCGCGTGGTCGAAAGCCGCAAGGTCACGCGCCACGGCCGCCACGTCGACGAGTACCAGCTCGCGGTCGAGACCAACAGCCGCGGCACGCTCACCCTCTGGCACCGCTACTGCACCTTGTACCACTTGCGAACGCTCATGCTGACCAAGTATGGAGATCGCGCGAGCGGCCTCCCATCGCTCCCAAAACACAGCGTGTTTACCGTCCTCTCGGAGGCGTGTATGATCGACCGGGTCGCCAAGCTCAACGCGTACTTGGAGGCCGCCATGGCCGACGAGAAGCTGCAGTGGGGTCTCCGCGTCGACGACGACACGCGCGTCTTCAAGTACCAGAAGCCACGACGCGCCCACAGCCGCGTCTCGGTGGCGTCGACTGCCGGCTCGTCCGACGATGACGAGGCGTGAGGCCAACAGTAGTAGAGTGTCGAGTTGTGTCGTGAGGATGCGAGTGGATAAATGTATCTTTGTGTGTATTATGGCAGAGTTGCTACCGCGCCGAGCCAAGGAGCTCTTGCCGATCACCGCACAGACAACGGCACTGCCGGTGGCCTACGATGGTCGCTGCGACCGCCTGCGCCAGGCGCGTCTGCAGCACCTGCGCACAGAGCCGCGTCGCGCGCTGCGTCCAGCAAGCGCTCTTAGAGCACAGGAAGCTGCAAGCGCCAGGGCGAGGTCGCCACCAAAAAGATACCTCGGGGAATCTCGTTCGCCGACCATCATTTTCCCACTCGTTCTAGATTTATGCAAAGATGTTCGCGACGACGGACGAGCTCGACCGACGCCGCGCTGCAGTCGCCAAGCGACTCCATGCGGCGGTAGATCCGCCGTTGCTGCAAGAGTGCGCCCGCTGGACACAGCGCGCGACGCGGCTCTATGCGCAGGTGCTGCAGACGCGCCCGGCGCAGGCGGTCGCAGCGACCATCGTGGGCCACCGGCAGTGCTTTGTCCAGGGCCGCCGCTTTGTCGAGTACGAGCTCGTGATCGAGACCGATTGGCGCGGCGCGCAGCGTGCGTGGCACCGGTACAGCACGTTCCGCAGCCTCGCGGCGTCGCTGCACGCGCCGCTCCCCAAGCTATCGGCGACGCACCTCTTTGGGGCGCACTCGGACCGTACCATCGAGATGCGAAAGGACCGCCTCAACGCCTTCTTGGCTGCGCTTTTACGCGACGAGACGCTGCAGTGGTGCCTCCGCATGGCCGACGGACACCGCGTCGGTCGGCGCAAGACCAAGCAGGTGCTGCCGCTGGACGCCCTTCAAGCGGTCCACCACGAAGCGACGCGCGTTGGCGAAGAGGCACGCCTTGCGGCTGTCGACGCGGCCTGCGCGGCTGGCTCAGCGCCGGCGTTTGTCGTCGCCGAGATTGGGCGCCTGCAACAGCGCGTCGAGCTGCTCGCGTCCGTGCTGGGGCTCCATGGAGGCGTCACGCTCGCCACCGCGCGCATTATTGACGCGCGGTGGGTTCTCAACAGTCGCGCGACGCAGTACCGGATCGAGATCGAGACGCCCGAGCGCGGCGCACTGCGCGCGTGGTTCCGACACGAGACCTTTCTCAAGCTCTCGGCATCGCTGACCGCCAAGTACGGGCCGGTCATACCCAATCTGGAGGCCGAGAAGCACCTGCCGCGCTGCCTCGAGAGACGCATGGCAAGACTAAACGCGTTTCTTGCAGCGATTCTAGCGCTCAGCGCTGTCGAGTGGGCGATCCGCATCGACGAAGCAACGTGCGTCGTCAAGCAGAACGCGTCGCAGCGCCCGTCGGCGGCCACCACGGTCTCGGACGACGACGACGACGACGGCTGGCCCTAGTCCTCTAAACTAACTCAACGCGTGCATACGAATACTCCTCGCACTTGTCGTACGTAGAGTGATCGACTTCATGCAGCAGAGACGCAAGCGCTTTTGCTTGCAGACAATATGACATTCGAGAGACCACTGACGTGCTCGTGGCGTCGGCAAGACGGCCCTGTCGCGCGCCTCGTCGGAGACGAACGCCACACGGTGACAGCCATGTGCGAGCGTCTCCACCTTGTGTCATCGTCCTCGACGACAGGCGGCGTCGATTGGCGAGTGCCGACGCCACTGGACGGCGCTTCGCAGCGAGTCGTTGGGCTACGACAACCTGTCCTTTCTCGTTGGCGACTCGTTTCCTGTCGCGTCAATAGCAGGGACGACATCGCGCGAACCATCTTGGCGAGAGCCAGGGGCAGGTGATTTCGAAGAGACATCTGTTTTTCCCGACAGCCGCCACCGATTTTGCAGAGAGCGGACGACTGCACATACCAACCATGGGCCTCGTCGACAACGACGCTGCGATCGCATGGCTCGACGCGAGCGTACGCCGCCACGTCTGACGCATCGCTCATGCGCTGACTAGATGCATGCCGACGACGACGAGTGTGCTACGGACGACGACTGCAGCGCCATGTGCAAGCTGCGGCGGCTCGAAGCCGAGCGCCTCGCCATCGAGCAAGACAACCTGCAGCTCCTTGCGACGCTCGAGAAGTTTGCCGACCCCAAGGCGACGACGCGCATCGCGCACGAGAACAACGCGATGAAGCGCGACCTCGCCAAGCTCGCGACCACGTTCACGTCCATCTCGGTACTCTTCGCTAGAAACTACGCTCCAACGACTTGCCTCTAGGCGATCGAGACGCGGCAGCGGCCGGCCAAGGTACACGTCGCTTCGCAAAGACATTCACAGATGTTTGTGCTAGCAGGGCGGGTGGGTCGAGGCGTTCAACATTGGCATCGAGACGCTCGACGGCCGGCTCTTGACGCAATGGTACGACTACGGCGTCATCATCAAGCTCGCTGTGGGGCTGCGCGGCCTTCACCCGACGGACGCGCACCGCATTCCGCCGCTTCCGACGCCGTGCAACACGCAGATTCTGGACGCCCGCGTCCGGCGCAGCCGCCTCCAGCTCGTCCATCACTTCTTCAGCGCGGTCTCGACCATGCCAGGCCTGAAATGGAAAATCCGAGCGCCCGACAGCGGCACGTACAGCAGCGTGCCGTGCACGGCCGCTTGCTTGGAGACCAACTGCTTGCGCTGGTCGACGTCGTCCGCGTCCATGTTTGGTGGCACTGACGCGGACGTGTCGCCCGTTGCGCCGCGAAAGAAGCACAACCGGTACAAATGGTGGCGGCGCACCACGTCGTGAGCAAGTATCCAACGCGACGCTATCCTATCCTACTCTAATATTATCTCGAACGTATCCTCCTGTCCTTCAAGTGACAGTGAATCGACGCCTGGAACATTTGCGCGGATTTGCGAAAAGGCGCCAGATTGCACTTTCTACGTCAGCACTATGAACGTCAATGCGCGCATGGGGAAGAAGTCTGCGTCGACGCGCGGCTCGGTGCGAACGTCCATGACGGCCAGCGGCTCTGCAAAGGCCAAGGGCCGCAAGAAGCCGATCGCGCCGCCCCGCATTCGCCACTTGGCTCTCAAGAAGGTCGCGCAAGAGCTCACGCAGTACGAGACCGGGTACAACAACGTGCAAATCGCCGCCGAGGGTAGCGCGCAGACCCGGTCGGTCAAGAGCGCGCCGCCGCTCGAGAGCGTCCATGGGTCGTCGATTCGCAGGTCGATGCTCAAGATCAAGGCCAGGGCGCAGAGCCCGAAGACGTACGTCATCGACCCGAAAAGCGCGCGTGCGACGCAGTGGGACGTCTTCATGGCGGTCCTTATCGCGTACAGCGGTATCACAGTGCCACTCGGCGTGTGTTTTCCGGGGTACTTGAGACCGTCGCTTGCACTTGGCTCGATGCGTGCGTAGGCTCCAAGTGGCCTCGGGACTCTGGGCCACGGTCGACAACTTTGTCGATGGCTTCTTTGGCGTTGACATTGTGCGCAACTTTATGATGGGGTACCACGACGAGCAGGACCAGCTCGTCGTCAACCACCGAGAGATCGCCAAGCAGTACGTCAAGACGTGGTTCCTGATCGACTTTTTCTCGACGTTTCCGCTGCAAGCCGTCGCGACGGCCACGAACGCGACCCTCGGCGACTCGAACTCGATTCAGCTCATCCGCATCTTCCGCGTCTTTCGCATCCTCAAGCTCACGCGGCTCGTCAAGCTCCGTGTCTTCTTTAAAACGGTGCGACCTCCAACGTGTGGTCGTCTTGACGGTGTTGTCTTCGTAGGCTGAAGATCGGTTCGGCTTCAACCCCGGCATGGTGCGCCTCGTCCGCCTCATCATGCTCGTGCTCTTCCTCTCGCATGTCATGGCCTGCTTCTTCCATTTGCTCGGCGGCCCCGTGGATCCGCCATTGGGCCGCCGCCTCTCGCTCAGTCCCACCTCAGATTATTCGACGTACCGGCCCAACGTGACATGGCTCCAAGACGACGACCTTCGCTTCGAGCGCGACAGCATCCGGTACATGTACAGTCTCTACTGGGTCATGACGACGCTCGCCGGCGTTGGCTTTGGCGACGTCCACGCAGTCTCAGTCTCGGAGCGCCTGTATGCAACGATTGCCATGATGATTGGCGCGTCCGTCTTTGGCTTTGTCATCGGCTCCATCTCGTCGCTGCTCGAGTCCATGGACACGCGAGCGGCAGCGTACCAGATGAAGATGATGGACGTCAAGGAGTACATTCGCGTGCACAAGCTGCCCAACGAGCTGCGGGTCAAGCTCTGCCGGTACTCGTTGGTCCTGCAACGACAACCCGCTCATGTGTTGTAGGTACTTTGAGCACTACCTCCAGCGCGCCTCGCTCTTTGACGAGTCGTCGATTCTCAGCGAAGTGTCGCTCAATCTGCGCAACGAAGTTGTCCACGAAACGTGCCGCGATATTTTTCGGTATTGTCGACAATTTGGATTCATTTCATTGTGAAATACGTAGGATTCCCGCCATTCGCAACATCAATGCCCAATTTGTCATGGACATGGCCACCAACATCAAGCCGCTCTTCCTCTTGGCCGACTCGGTCATTGCCAAAGAGCACACGGTGGGCCGGGAAATGTACTTTTTGAACTCGGGCATAGTCTCGGCGTGCAACTCGACGATCCAAGGCCATCGCGTCCTTCTCGACGTGCTCAGCGAAAACACCTATTTTGGCGAAGCCCCGCTGCTCTTCTACTGTCTCCGCGAGAATACGTACATTAGCCTCACGAATTGCGAAATGTACACACTGCTCAAGGAAGACTTTGGCGCGCTCTTGGAAGAGTACCCCGACACGGAGAGAATTCTTACCGAGTACTACGACCTCCGCAAGAAGAATTACATGGACACCCACGCCATCATGATGCAGCGCTACGCGGTACACCCGACTCGTGCGTCGTTTGTACTTATTCTTGTCTAGATGTTCGACAAGTGCAAGGACGACCCGGGGCAGCTCCGGCGCGTCGAAGACCTCTGGCCGCACCTCAAAATCTCGTTGAATGGGACGCCGCTGCCGATTGAGCAGTTTCCCGCGCACATTTTGAAGCTGTTGCCCCACTTTCTAAGCCCCCGCGTCTCGGTGTTCAACTCTGTCTTTTCAAAAAAAGTCATTTTGGACGGTCTTTGCATTGTGTTTTGTATCAACTATTCACATTGGCTTGTAGGTATGAAGCCCAAGTACGAGAAAGCGTTTACGCAACCCAAGCGACTGCGCGCGCTCATTCGTCCGCACGCCCCATGGAAGCTGCGCTGGGACATCCTTCTCGGCGTCTTGATCGTCTACAACGTCATGAGCATCCCTTTTCAATTCGCATTTCAAGGCGGCTACATGGGGGACATGACCGTCGACCCGGTCGTGATTGTACGAGACTGTTTCTACGATTGTGCAAACGCGGGTGCTGCTAGATGTTGGACTATTGCGTCGATAGTGTGTTTGGGCTTGACATCGTCCTCAACTTTCGAACCGGGTACCTCGACGACGAGAGTCAGCTCGTCATGGACGCCCAGAAGATTGCCAAACGGTATATAGCTCCTACTTCCTTTGGACGGGCTATGTCGCAAATTACGTAGCTATCTCAAATTTTGGTTTTGGATCGACGTGGCCTCGACGTTTCCGATTGGAGCTGTCGCGGACGCCATGAGCCCGTCCGCCGCGCAGCTGAATGCGACGACCGTCTCGTCGTTCCAGAATCTCAAACTCATTCGCTTCGTGCGCCTCGCGCGGCTGCTCAAACTCATGCGCCTCCTCAAACTCAATCGCAGCGTGAGCAGTGTCGAGAACGTCTTGGACTTGAGCCCTGCCGCCATTCGCCTCATGAAGCTCTTTGTGCACGTACGTCTTTGAAATTGAGATTGAGATTCGTGTGCGGAGACATATATGTAGGTGTGTTTTATCGCGCATCTCTCGGCCTGCATCTTCTTTTTTATCGGGCAGCTCTCGCAGCAGATCTATGGCGAGTGCTGGATCAGCCCGACGCTGTGGACGGCGCCGGCGTTCGACAAGTACGTCACGTCGCTTTACTTTAGCTTCACGACCATGGCAACGGTCGGGTACGGCGACATTTTGCCCGTGACGCCGCTCGAAGTCATCTACGTGACGTTCTACATGCTGCTTGGCGCGTCGATTTTCGGCTACATCATTGGGTCCATGTCGGCGCTCGTCGACCAAATGCAAACAAAAGGCACTATCGCCAAGGAAAAGCTGGACCGCGTCAAGGTACGTTGTCGTTTTGAAATTGAGTTTTGACATTCAGTTTTGACATTCAGTTTTGAAATAAATACATTGCATAGGAATACATGAACGAGCGCAACTTGCCAAAACCGCTCCGTGTGCGCATTCGCAAGCACTTTGAGTTTTACTTGGCGCAAAAAGAGATCTCGGCCGACTCGGACCTCGTCCACGAGCTCTCGGACGACCTCCGCACGCAGCTCGTCATCCACTTGAACAAGGACGTGGTCACCAAAATTCCATTCTTTGCCAACCAAGACGACGCGTGCATCTCGTACCTCATGGGCATTCTCAACCAAGAGTGCTTTACGCCCGGCGAGTTTGTCTTTCGCGAGGTAGACATGAAACGACCGTCGCATATATCATGTTGTCTAGGGCGAGTTTGGGCGCCACATGTACTTTCTTGTCAAAGGCACGGTCGACGTCGTCATCAACGCCAACACGCCCCAGGAAATGCTGTGCAAGGTACGTCCGATACGATGCAAATTCGACATATCCTGCTGTGCGCGTAGGTACTCTCGGAAGGCTCGTACTTTGGGGAGCTTGCGATGCTCTTGAACTCCAAGCGCTCGGCGAGCATTCGCTGCAAGACGTTTGGCATCCTCTACGTCCTGAGCCGCAGCGGCATGGACCATATCCACTCGCACTACCCTAGTACTCTCTCTCTCCGACGGATTTTGAAGCAATCGGAATACGTAGATATCTCCAACCATATCATGAAGGAGATCCGGGCCAAATTGCTCAAAATTCAAAAAGAGGCCGACGCGCGCGAGGCGTCGTCGCAGAACGTACCGCGCTTCCCGACCCAGCAACCGGTCGTGACCGACAAGGCGCTGCTGGACGCGTACGCCACAGTCGACAGAATCATCGTCAAGCTCGTCAACTTTTACGGCGACGGCGACAAGTCCAAGCATCGCGCGATCGCGACCTTGGTGAGCCGGCTCAAGAAGTTTGATTTTGACGGACAGTCGGTCTACGACGCCCCGAAACAGGTGCGTCCTCGTCCGTGGCATCGCCAGCGTCATCGTCCTGGGCGTAGGCCGAGCCCAAGAAGAACGAGGCTGTACGGCGCCAGTTTGCCAAGGTCGGCCGCAAGCTCGTACGTCGTCTGTTTTTGTATCAAGTTATCAAGTGCCTGCCATAGATTGTCAACATGAATGCATTCACGGTCGAGCCCAAGAGGACGACGCCAGAGACGCGCTGGACTAGCATGCCAAGCCACGCGGACGAAGCCAAGGGACCCCGTGCACGCGTACTCATCGACTCGCTCGAGGCGGCGGGCGAGTCATCGAGCCGCCGCGTCACCGGCCCGTCCTTGACCGACATCGAGACGTCGTAGCGTGTCGTATCGGGTATCTCGTATTGAGCGCTTGCATTTTCGCTGCATTTTCGCTGCATTTTCGCTGCATTTTCGCTGCATTTTCGCGGGTGACCAGCGACGCTCGTGTTCTGCTCCGATGAGAAGGATCTCGTCGTCTTAGTGTTGAATGTACATTATGCACACAACTACTACTCAAAGAGCGCAATCAGCAGCATGAGCGCAATGCCGAGCACCATGGCGGCAAGCTGCAAGAGCGATGACGTCAACGACGTGTCTTCGAGCAGCTCGGGAAAGACGCTCGTACACGCAATGTAGACGAAGCCGCCGGCCGTGAACGGCGTCACCCACGCGCCGGCTTCCGACTCGAGGAGCAAGCCAACCAGAGTGCCAACCATCGCGCCAACCGCCGTGTACAGCTGCGTCCACATGGCTTGGCGGCGCGTAAAGCCGGATTGCAGCAAAATGGCAAAATCGCCAATCTCGTGGGGCACTTCGTGCAGCAGCATGGCCGCGGTCGTCTGCCACCCGCTGGCGCGCCCGTGCACAAACGTAGCGCCGATCGCGAGGCCGTCGGTGAAGTTGTGGGAAAAGTCGGCCGCGAGGTTGAGGTACCCGGCCGCGGCGATCGTGGTCGTCGCGTCCGGGGCGTCGTCGTTCTTCTTGTGCGCCGCATTGTCGTGGCTGTGGCCGTGCAAATGTCCATGGCCCGTGTGGGCGCGCACGAGCTTTTCGAGCATAAGAAACGACAGGAGGCCGCCAAGCACATAGAGGTACGGCGCGAGGTCGGCCACCGAGTGGGCATGCCCGCCGTCGCTGCTGTGGTTGTGGTCGTGGTCATGGTCACTGTGGCTTGGCAGCGAGTGCGGCAGCAAGTGCAAGAGCGCATCGCCGAGCAGACCGCCCGCGGCAAAACTCAGAAAGACGCGGAGGAGCGGCTTCTGCGCCGCGATGTCGGTCGAGCGGCCAAGTGGCACGAAGAAGAGAACGATGACGGGCGCCGCGCCTACGAGCGCGGTCGCGAAAAGCGCCTCGGTCCACAACGACAGTTGCATCCACTCGGACAATGACGTGGCCGCAAGCGCCTGCTTCTCGGGATGCTCGTGAACGTGACTGTGGTCATGACCGTGACTGTGGTCATGACCGTGACTGTGGTCATGGCCATGCTCGTGGTTGTGGTCGTGGCCATGATGGTGGCTGTGGTCATGGCCATGCTCATCATGGTGCGCATGCTTGCCATGGTGATGAGGGCATCCAGAGGGCGGCACCGGTATCGCCTCAGGTCGCAGAAGATCGCGATGGTCGTGCGAGTGGCCATGGTCGTCGTCGTGCTGATGGTGGTGGTGGCCGCTACGCCGCATGAGTGGCCGCATATAGCGAGAGGTCGTACCGCTCGCCATGCGAGTGCGCAGCGACGGCCATGATGGCCACCGCGAGGACGGCGGCGAGGACGCAGCGTCGGGCCAGCATCCTGCAAACGAGATATGAGCGGTGCGTGAAAACCACACGTGGCTTTTAGATTCACACGCTGTGCAATTTGTGATTATGTGGTGATTTTCACAGCTGTCGGACAACTCAGTGCCTGCCCGCACAGGTCGTCCGACAGCCGTGAAGTGAAGCTCGAGATCTATCCACGACATGTATCCACCGACCGATCCAGTGCGGATAGTGTTCGCCAGCTCCATGTTTGCTCCATCGCTATCCACGCGATACTACGACAAAGCTACAAACTGGCTGCGATGATTGCTGTCGTGCAAGGCAAGCTCGCGTCCACAAGAGACGTTTGTGCTGGCGTTCCGCCTGTATACTCCAACGTACAAATATCCCACGCTGCAGCCACGTACCTGCGCAAGATTTCTGCGCCAGCTTTTTCGCACGCATGAGAATCCACAAGTTGCGGCGTCGATCCACACCGCGGTGTTTCGGGTCCATAAAAAGCTACTGTATGGACGCCGCTACACGATATCGATGCGCTGTGTTGCGCGAGGAGGACGCTGTATGTACTAGTGCCGAGTCGGTCGGTCCGCCATCAAGGCCAATGCGGCTTGTCGCGGCACGTTGCGCGGCTCGTAAGGGACGCGGTGACCAAGCGCCTCCAGCTGGCAAGTCGAGAGCAACCACCGAGCGCTTGGCAAGCTCGACTCGACACCGCCACGCACTCGCATTTGTGCGCCAAGCGACAGCAGGCGGCCAAGCGAGGAGCGGTGTGCTCATTACGCAGCCATCATGTATAGTAGTAGTATAGCTCTCACCCAGATCGCAATTCAGCGGGGTTTTCTTGAGGCCAGAGATACAGTGGACTGAGCCACAACGGACGAACGTCCCGATACAGTGTAATCCATCGCCAGTTGGTGATTTGCGCCGTCATGGAGACCACGTGCTTCTTTAACGAGTGCAACCAAGCGGTCGTGCCGGGCTCGTGGAAGTGCGTCTTCCACCGCCACCGGTCGCGCTGCCAGGTCGACGACTGCCGCAACCAAGTCTACGCGCGCAGCCTCTGCGTCCGCCATGGAGGCAAGCGCAAGTGCGAGGCGCCCAACTGCGGCGTACACGTGCGCCAAGGCCGCTTCTGCACGCTCCACGGCCCCAAGGTGGACAAACCGCGCTGCACCGAGGAAGGCTGCGAGAAGCAAGCACACATGCGCTCCAAGTGCGTCCGGCACGGCGGCGGTCGCCTCTGCAAGGTCGAGCACTGCACGACGTACGCGCGGGGCGGCGGGCTCTGCTGGCGCCACCGCAAACGCGACGACGAGCCCATATCACCCACGGAGAACGCAGGGGTGCTGCCGTCCGTCCACGTGCTTTTGAGCAGCCGCCACGAGGCCATCAAGCGAGAGGCGACGCCGTGGATGCGCTATTCGCCGCCGCCAGCCAAGCGCCACGCCGGTCCTCCTCCTCCGTTTCACAGCTCTACCGTCCAGCCGCGCTTGCCACCGTGCCGGTCGCTTCTGCGGCCAACCGAGTACCAGCTCCCAGCGACGCCGCCCGAGACGTTTAGTCGATATGTGCAGCCAGCGATGCAGCGGCCAGCCTGGTTTTAATGGACCATACAATACATGTCAGACGATTTAGTAGAGGAATACTGCAGTCTAGAGCGAGCTGCTGCAACCAAGACCCTCCCCTCGCTCGCGCCACCGATCAACTACGAGCGGTACCGGTACCGGTATCAGTAGGATACTCCACCTTGCTGTCGAACGTCCAACGACCCGCACGACCGACGCATGTCGCGATCGAACAGAAGCGAAGGCGACCGACGACTCGAAAAGGCAAGGAGCTCTATCGAGTGAGTCGCTCAACTACGACTCAAAATGGTGTTGATGTACACTGTATCGAGCCTCGGAATCGCAACGCAGCAGCAACTCGGTGCAGCTGGTTACGATCACGGGCAAACGCACGATCGCTCGCAATACACTGTCTTAAAGACTGGATATTGGCAGCTTGAAGCGGGCGACAACTGACTGGCGAGGGTACCACTACAGTACGTACCTGGCGCAAGGTACCACCGTTTACAGACCCCCCTCCGCCCCCCCTCCTTCCCATTCCTTCAAGAGAGACCCTCAACCCCCCATCTTGACGCCATCTTGACGCCATCTTGACTGCAACCCTGTATCCGGCGGGAAATTCAAGTGGTTTATCCGGATCATTCTCCGGATAGACGCGGAAGAGGTCATCATCAACAAGAGCATGGGCTGCTGCTGGGAGGCCGCGTACGAGCAGCACTGGCGCGGGTACGTCGAGGGCGTCGTCAACGGCCGCTTCGGCGCGGCAGAGGTCCGCGCCTACGAGGCCAGCGCAGAGGACATTGCGAACATGGAGCGGCTCTTTGCGGTGCTGCAGGAGGACCCACCGTCGCTGCTCGACGACGACGATGGCTCGTATGCGTACCATACGCCGGCCAACGTCTCGTTCGAGTACAGCACGCCAGGTACGCGATACTCAGTGCGCCATGAGCTCACGCTGCTTAGGTCCGAGGAAGAAGCGATTGCGGCCCAGCAGCGGCAGCAAGAGCAGCTTCTTCCCCGAGTTCGACTCGAAAGAGCTGCAAGCGAGCCTCGACGACGTGTCCATGACGCTCTGCCGGCGCATGGCGTCGCTCTCGCCCATCACAGGAGACCGCTCGAGCACGACGGCGACAAAGCCCATTCTAGCGACCAGTGCGGACACGAGCGTGATCCCGTTCCGACTGCCCGACGACGACGAGGTGGACGAAGACACGCCAACGCCAACGCTAGAGCACCTCTCGCGCACGCTCGTGCATACATCGCCAGCGCATCCATCGGGACGGCCTCCTCTGCGTCATCTACGACTTCACATGCCACCTAGCGAACAACAGGCAGACGAGGCAGCTCTGGACGAGTCGATGGACTACTCATTCGGCAACAACAGCAACAATCGCGATGATGACGACGACGCTCCTGGCGCGTCGCATGACGAGATGCTTGAGAACGCGCCCGACATGTCCATCTTGCTCAGCCAACTGGGCATGATGCCGTCGCTGCCCGACCCGGACGACGACGAGCGCGATGCATTTCCCCACAGTGCAGCGACGCCGCAGACCCACAAGCTATTACGAGGCCGCAGCCGACTCAAGCAGGCGCAGAGCGTACCAAGCAAGAAGACGAAAGCGCTTCTCCGGCGGCAGTCGGTCTACAGCGAGCTCTCGAGCTTTGACGGCGACGACGCGTCGGGCGACATTTCCATGACATCGCCGATCGCCAAGCACGTACAGACGACGCGAGGTCGTCCCTACTGTCCCATAATATCACAACCGTATCGCGATTTAGGGCTCGTGCTGCAGTCGGCGACCAAGAAGCCGGCCCATGTGCTCGAGCCGTACCAAGAGCGCGCCGTCGATTGGATGTGGGAGCGCGAGCACCCGGGCATTCTCGACGAGGTCAAGGGCGGGATCCTTGCCGACGAAATGGGCCTCGGCAAGACGGTGAGCTGCCTGGCGCTCATCGAGCGGTCGCGCGACGCCAACGCGGCGGAGAAGTCGCGGCCGACGCTCATCATCGCGCCGCTGTCGCTCCTGCACCAATGGGAGCGCGAGATCAAGCACAAAACATCGCTGTCCGTCGGCGTCTACCACGGAACAGACCGGAAGCGGTTCCGGCGCGACCCGGACTTTCACGCATATGATATTGTACTCTCGACGTACGATGTGCTCCGCTTGCCTGAAGTCGCGATACCCGTCTCCATGGTAGTATCAAGTTATCAAGAGGAAAGAGCAGATCGTGGACTCTACCTGGGGTAGGTGCACCGCACTGCGCCGCGCAAGGACACGTCATGGATCGCCACCAAGCGGCTCCGCGAAGAAAAAGTGTTGCTCTCCAAGCTCCACCGCGTGCAGTGGGACCGCGTCATCCTCGACGAAGCCCACTTGATAGCCAACATGACTGCTGCCCGGTAGGTTTCTCCATCGCGAATCTGAATCTCAATGTATGAATTCCAGCACGCAAGCGTCGTTTCAGCTGCACGCGCGGGCGCGGTGGTGCGTCACCGGCACGCCGATCCAGAACCGATGCGAGGACCTCCACCCGCTCTTCAAGTTCATTGGCATCCCGCGCATTGGCGACGACACCCACTTGGCGTCGCTCGTCGATCTCTACCTTCTTCGCCGGCTCAAGTCGGCAGCGACTGCGAATTTACCGGAAAAACTTGACGAGCGCGTCGTCTTGACGTTTGCGACCGACGCCGAGCGGCTCTGGTACCGCCAAGTGCACCACATTACGCGGCGCGAGGTCCAAGAAACGCTCGGCCGCACAAAGTCCACGGGCCTCCACGTCTTTGAATTGCTCTTGCGACTGCGCCAGGTGTGCGACTCGCCGTCGCTCCTCACGATGCCGCTCATCAACGAAGACGGCTCACGTCGCCACATGCCGCGCGTCCCGCTCTCGACCAAAATGCAAACCCTCTTTGACGCGCTGCGTGCGGCGACGGCCTCGAACGAGCCGTGCCTCGTCATCTCCGAGTGGCGGTCGTTCTTGGACCTGCTCCGCGAGCAGCTGCATGCAATCAACCCCGAGATCTCGGTCGGGCAGCTCGACGGTCGCATGGCGCCCCGGGTAGCCCTTGGCAACAGAGTTCCGAGTCTGATGGGCAAGACTAGGAGCGCGCGCAGGTCGTCGACGCGTACCAAGGCGGGCGCCTCAACGTGCTCTTCCTCTCGCTCAAGAGCGGTGCGCTGGGACTCAACCTCACTGCGACGCGCCGCGTCTTTGTCATGGAGCCGTGCTGGAACCCGAGCCTCGAGAGCCAAGCCATTGACCGCGCGCACCGCATTGGTCAAACGCACCGCGTCATCGTGACGCGCTACATCATGAAGGTAGACATGGTACAGTATCACTGTGAGACTATTGCACGGGTGTAGGACACGATCGAAGAAAAGATCTTTGCGATGCAAACCGAGAAGCGCGCGATGATGACCGCCGTCTTGCGGGACCGCATCGCCGACAAGGGCGTGCCACGCGCGCTCAAGCGCAAGGACGTGATCGACCTTGTGCTGCAATAAGATATATGTGATAGAGACCGACTCGGCAACGAAATAGACCGTACAAAGTCGATGTTGAGACAAAGGCAACGCAAAAGCGCCGCAGTTATTACCACTCGGTCTCGGCGTAGTCCTTGAAGAAGAGCCCAAACGGGTACTTGTGCTCGTTGACGCCAATGAAGATCGGGTCCAGCACGCGCGCCGCTATCAGATGTATAAGATATTGCCATTCTTTGGCAGACTTGATCGATACCTGCATCCACTTCGTCGATCGGCGTTTGAAAGTTGGCTGTCTGCGCGTACTTGTGCGCCTTCTCTAGCGGGTTCTCGTCGTTGATCCAGCTAGTTCACCGTAAGTCCAAGTACAGTAGGCATACGAGAGAGGTACCCCGTGTCGACCGAGTTCATGTAGATGCCGTGCTTGCTGAGCTCTTCGGCGCACGTGCGCGTCATCATGTTGAGCGCCGCTTTCGCCATGTTGGTGTGCGGGTGGTTGGGCGTCTTGTAGCGGTAAAACTTGCCCTCCATCGCCGAGACGTTGATGATAAACTTGTCTGTCGCGGGCGTGGCTTCCATGAGCGCGCGGAGGCGGCTGTTCATAATGAACGGCGCGAGCGTGTTGATCGCAAACACCTCGGCGACTTCGGGCGTCGAGACTTGGCCCATCTTGAGCACCCACGAGTTGGTCGTGCGCAAGTCGAGTTGCTGGCCGTTCACGTCCTTCATGCCCACGGGAAAGTGCTCGCTGCTGTTGGCGCCGTCTTCAAGGAGCATTGGGATCTGCGTCTTGACCGCGCTCAGGTTGGCGAGCACGGGCGGGACGGCACCGCCACCGTCGGCCGTGAGGAGCGAGCCGGGCGCTGCAGTCCGAAGAAGCTCGGCGTGGAAGTCGCTTTGCTGCTTCAAGATCGGCTGCACGCTCGGCGGGAGGGACGCGACCGGCGTCGTCTCCTTGGGCATCATGTGGCTGTAGTACGACGGCGGGCGGCGGATCGTCTGACACGCGTTGTGGACGACCATGTCGAGGCGAGCGTACTTGGTGTTGACATAGTCGAGAAACTGCTCGAGGTGCACCATATCCCGAAAGTCAATGCCGTAGACATGCAGCCGGTCCTGGAACGTCGCAAACTCGGGGTGCGCCGCGTACCGCTCGGCCGTGTCGTGCGGGAAGCGGCTCGTCGCAATGACCGTCGCGCCCGAGAGCAGCAGCTTGAGCGCGGCTTGGAACCCGATCTTGACGCGCGCACCCGTGACGAGCGCGACGCGACCACGCAGGTCGGCCGACTGCATGCGCTTGGTATAGTTGAGCTCCGCGCACTCTAGCCATTTTTGTGGGTATAAATGCAAGCAACGCGGTCGTACTGGGGCAGAGCTGGTCGTAAAAGTGATGCAGTTGTTCGTAGCGGACCTTGCACGTGTAGCACGAGCGCTGCTTCTCGAGCTCTGCGATCGGCGCCTTGGGTCCGTTCTCGAGCAGCGCGGGGGCCTCCTCGACCGCGCCGTCGGCGATCATCGGCAGCATGGCTTCGTCCTTGCCTTGCTCGAGGAGACTCTGGAGCTTCTCGACACGCGCACGGCGAAGCGTCGCGCTGTTGATGTACTTGTTGTCGTTCATCTTGCGCTTCACCTGGCGCGCCTCCTTCTCGCGACGCAGCTCCTTGTCCTCGAGGTACTTCTTGCGCCCCTTGCCCTTGAACTTGCGGCTCTCCATGTAGTCCGAGACAGGCGCGATGGTCTTGCGGAAGTTGCGCATCGCCGGCTGCTCAATGACCTCGAGGTCCTTGGCCAAGACCGACAAGACCTACACAAGCCGAATGAGGATCATGATGCATCGTCGTGGCACGCCCATGGCCGTACCTCCAAGCACGTCGTGAGATGCTCCTGCGGAAACGGGAGCGGCGCCTCCGTCTGCGCGGCCTCCGTCGGCTCCGATGCGTCGGCCGCTGGCTGCGTCGTTGCGTTCGCGGCCACCTCGGGCGCCGAAGCGCTCATCGGGTCGTCCACTGCGTCCATTTGTTTGCAAACTGAATTGGGTTCCAGTCCAGTCGTAGAATTGGGATATATCCTAAATGGACCGTTGAAATCGGCTTTGACCGAATTTTGTTGCGTGTCAAAAATGGCGATCTCGACAGCCATTGGTTAGCGCTGTGGATAAACCAACGCAACTATGGCGGGCACGCGCAAGTGGTGTTCGGCCGAGACGAGCACACGGCCTCCAGGCTACGTCGACGCGAGTGCGTCACGCGGTGCTACAAAATACCACGATAAGATTTCCCGTGAAATGAGCTGCCACACAGCACCACGACAACGATTCGCGAGCTGGAAGGTCGGTGGACCCACGATACATGCGTCCCGTCCAGCCCCGTGCAAAACATTTATAACGTTAGGACTGCCGCCAAGGTAGGTCACGGAGCAGATTATCGACCGGGTGCCTAGGCATTCAGCGACCTCTACATGGCTATTGCAACAACGACAGCGTCGTCCCCGTTGCCAGCCTTACGAGGAACTGTACGAGACCATAGAATCGTTCTTGAAGCTCTTGAGTGCGTCTCTTGAGTGCGTCTCTTGAGTGCGTCATGCCCACCAGTGTCGCTCACATCCAAAGGCGAGAGGTTTGCATGACGCTGCTGCAGCTTTCTTGCACTTTGGCTCGGAAACCGCGTGCGATGATTCGTTGAAATGGAGTCGCTGATTGGATGACTTCTTCACGCTCGTCAACCAGCCACGTCATGATCGGCCAGATGGAGAAGCCTGGTCCCGACCTCTCTCTCAATCAACGTGACTTTCCGAAGGCCAACATCAAATGCCAAGCGACGAGGTCACGAGCAACGTTGCACCGTGCAGGCCCTGCCCGAACGCTCCATGACGAACAGCGAGGCGCGTATCGAAGCCGCCGAGGCATTTCTCGACGGTGAGGCCAAGTCGCGCTACGCGGACGCGCCCTCTCTGGACGATGACGGCGAGGTGTCGTGGGGTCCGTTTATCGTCTGCTCGTGCATGTCGCCCAAGGACTATGAGTGGTGGTTTACCTCCAACGAAGGGTACTTGCCCCGTCTCTGCTACGAGCCCTTGGCTGGCCACGTGACGCTGGGGCGGCTTGTCGTGTACAACGACCGCACCTTCCTGCACGAGCATACGCGCACGATCGTGGCGATGCTTGAGCGGCAGCTCCAGGACTTGGCGGGCGGGCAACCGCTGGCCAACTTGGAGCTCCTCAAGTGCGACAACTCGTTGTTACAGCTCGACGACCGCTTGGCCGTACCCACGGAGGGCTTGACACCAATGACGCTGGCCAACAATATTACCGAAGCGACGCGGAACCGAGGCTTTGACTATCCGTTTCTTTCGTGCTTGAAGTCGCGTGCAAGAACGAAAGCCTGCGCGATTTGCGCGCCAAGCTAGAGCGCTGGATGCATCCAGATACGTCGGTGCAAGTGGCGATAGGCCTCAAGATATGTGGACCGCGCTACGCGTTTGTGCTGGTGCGGCCGAAAGCCGGAAAAGGTCACGATTAGCGCCAAGGTGGCCGACCAGGGCTTTCCTCTCGGTCACGACGATGCCGTACCCACTCTATGGCCGCGACGACACTGTGATTCGCATCGACTTCGCTGCGCCACTACGTTGCGGTCAACCATGCGAATCGTAGCGCGTCTAATGGCGAGGATGACATTGACTCTTCGCATTGGTGTTAGAATAAGCTTGGCTCTCCCGTTCGAGATAAGACGTTGGATCTCCTTTGATTGGCTCTTGTCGGAATCGAGCAAGATTGGCTCAAAATCCCCGAGTCTCGTATACCGCCAATGCAGGATGAACCGCGATTGTGTGACTGGAATGCGATCTTTGGGCGTCGCCGATCGAGTCTGTTGACACGCATGGATCCTGGAGCAGAGCGCAATGTGGAAGAGAAGATGATGATGCATGAGGTGTTCTTATTTCCTAGTAGTATTATAATAATAGCACTGATATACAGGTCGTCGAGGTTGGTGTTTTAACCCGAGTGGCTGAACCGGCAGCCAGCGCCGCGGTTGCACTCGCCCTTCTGGAAGGCGTAGCACACACCGCCACCGCCACGGCCAGCACCGTCACGGCCACCACGGCCACCACGGCCACGGCCGCCATCACGGCCACCACGGCCGCCGAAGCCACGGCCAGCGCCACGACCGCCACGGCCGCCAGCGGCACCGCCGTTCATGCGCTCCTTCTTGGCGTTCTTGCAGTCCTTGCAGCGGACCGGCTTGTTGTCAAAGCCCTTCTCGAGGTAGAAGGCCTTCTCGCCGGCCGTGAAGACGAACGTGTTGCCGCAGTCCTTGCACTCGATGTTCTCGTCGCCGGCCTCGTCGGCTTCCTCGGCTTCTTCTTCTTCGACCTGCTCCTCTTCCTCGGCAGCGACCTCTTCCTCGGCCTCTTCCTCAGCCTCTTCCTCCGAGTCGGAGCCCGACTCGGACGATTCGACCTTCTGCTTCTTGGCCACCTTCTTGGCAGCGTCGTCGCCCGTGCGCTTCGTCGTCTTGGAATCGGTCTTCTTGGCCATCGTGAATGTGAAAATGATCTTGGTGGACCGAGCTGACCTGCGGTTGGATTTTTCGTTGGTTCCGGCGCCTTATGCGATCTCCCGCGCCGCGTTTCAATTGCGGCCATTCGAAACCCGATAGAACTACACCCGGTTTTATACCGGGCCGTCCGAATTTAAATGATTTTCAGCGCCAACACGCATTATAATGCGTTCGAATGGCCCGACCTCTCAGATCGCATGCTTTGAAAACTCTACAATCGAATACACTTGGTTGGTTCAAGCTGGAACGGGGTTACACACCGCACCCGCCATGTTGCCGGAGCGACAACCCGGACACGGGCAGCGAATCTTGCTATGGCATTCGTGCTGCATGATGGTGCGCGAGAGCTGTGCGGGAGCTAAATCACACAGCCAAACTTACAAGGTCGGATGACGGTGGATTGTCTACGGGTTGAAATATGGCGCCAATTCCGCACCTTGGTCATGAACTCGCCAAGGCGAGAATCGTAAGAGGCAGCAAGAAATGCTCGTGTGAGCACCAGAAACTGGAGGACGCAGCCACCAAGCGGCAAAGACAAGGCGCGCAAGGTTCTGCCCGACCTCCTGCGATAGAGCAACGAGTGTGTTGGCTTGGCTGTACCTCTGTCGAGACGCAGTTGCAACCGACATGGCCATGCGGGCGCTTGTGATTTCCGCGCATCGCTCGCCCAGCACCTCGCATCTTGGTCTTTGGCGCATGTTCTACCTCGTCCTCGCATCCCATGCATGCATGGACTCCTGATGGAACGACGAGCGTGGCAACCTAATGACAGTGGTTCATGGAGGCTAACGACACCGGGCGCAGTGTTATCAGGAGGAGGGTACCGTGACGAGTCAAAGACGTTTGAAAATGAGCCGGCGTGCTGGCGTTCGAATACGAGGAGCTCCGACGGCCGCTCCCGTCGGATCTGACGTCACGTTATGGCAAACGTTGCCCAGGATGTTGCTGTATAACCCGCATTATAACAATGAACAATGGAGTATAACGTCTAGACTCGCCATTATCGGCGAACGGAAGGGCTGAAGTAGCGACGGGTACATGTGATGGTTGCGATCTTTGCCGCAAGAAGCCTGTCATGAGGAAGGTGCGTTTCCGGATATGTCGTATCCGGACATTCCCCGGCGCAATTTGTGAGGAGAGACATCGCCCCGACGACAGTCCTTGCAGCATGAGCTCCATCGCGAAGTTGACCCAGGTAGATGCATGCTCTTCTGCTGACAAAGATGGTCATAGCCATGCGAGGTAGATCGCCAAGATCGTGGACCAGAAGGAGAAGCTGGCCGCGTACAAGGTACCTCCTTCTGCATGCAAGGTATCCTCGGCGACGAAGACGCATGGCAGGACTACATCGATGCGTCGGCTCTGAACGAGGCTGCGCTCAAGTCCCTTCTGGAGCATGGTAGCGTTGCCTAATGCTGCTGATATGGGATCCCATCATAATCACTGTCTCTAGTCTTGACCGACGACGTCCAGCTCGTGGTCGCGCGAACGGTGCGCTGCGTTCGTCGCCGCCACATCGTGACCGTGGGTATGTATGTAGGTGCTGAGCCAATTCGCCCAAGCGGTCGGGCGCATCGACACGGAAGTCCATGCGTGGAAGAAGGACCTGCTCGTCTTTGCGCTGCAGCAGATCAAGCCGCGGATCCTCTCGTTCGAGGAGACGGACGTGGTCCTTCGCGAGCAACTCTGCGACCTCTTCATGGAGGAAGAAGAGTACATTGAGGCGGCCAAGACGCTTGCAGCCATCAACCTCGAGAGCTCGGCGCGGCAGTACTCGGACGACGAGAAGGCCGAAAAGTACGTCAAGATCGCCGAGCTCTACCTCCAGGAGGACGAGACGGTCGACGCCGAGAACTTTATCAACCGCGCGTCCCGGGTCATTCACGCTGTCGACGCCTCCAACTGGGCGCTCAAGATCCGCTACCAAGTGTCGTACGCGCGCATCCTCGACTCGAAGCGCAAGTTCCTCGACGCCGCTTTGCGCTACTACGAGTTTTCCCAGTCCAAGCCCGATGTACGACGGCCCTTCCTCTCTTTTTCACCATAGTAATCCTATAGGAAGTCGACCCGGACGACCTCCTCCAGCTCCTCGGGAAAGCGACGACGTGCGCGATTCTCGCGGCCGCGGGGCCCCAGCGCTCGCGCCTCCTCGCCACGCTCTACAAGGTACATCTGAAACGGCTGCGTGCAAAGTCGTCATGGCCCATGCAGGATGAGCGCATCAAGTCGATGGAGCACGCGGGTATTCTTGAGAAGCTCTACTTGGAGCAGCGTCTGCGCCGGTCCGACATTGCCGCGTTCGAAGAGGGCTTGCTCCCGCACCAAAAGGCCAAGCTCGCCAATGGCTTCACGGTCGTCGAGCAAGCGTTCTTGGAGCACAACATGCTCGCTGTCTCGCGCATCTACACGAGCATGTACTTTGACGAGCTCGGCACGCTCCTCGGGGTCGACGCCAAGAAGGCAGAGAAGGTATCATTCTTCCGATATGACGATGGGGTGCCACCGTGCACTAGGTGGCCGCCATTATGATTAGCGAAGACCGCATGAAGGGCTCAATCGACCAGGTCAACGGCCTCCTCGAGTTTGAACAAGGTAGTACGACCATAGGACGCAGCTGATGGACCGGACGATGTAGACGGCGAGGTGCTCCAAGCCTGGGACGACCGCATCAACTCGATCTGCCTCAACGTCAACGCGTGTGCCGAAAACATCCAGAGCAAGTACCCCCACGTGCTCTCGTCGTCTGCGTAAGCGTGTCGCCGAATCCATCCTATTGCGTGGCCTACCTTCGTACCAATGTACCTCGACGACGCTATACCGCGTTGAGGCGTCGTCTCCTGCAGCCAAGTGCATGCGAGGTGTGGCCGCCAGCGCAGTAGCATCATACAAAGCGCGTGAGAAGCCCTCGCTACTGCAGCATGCACGAGGCTTAGATGACGCGCAGCATGCAGCGCTCTGGCACCGCGGGATGGCCAACAGAAACCGGAAAGGCCGTATGGTCATATCCGGATAATGACGGTATATCCGGAATCGCTGTGTCGCTTAGGAGAAAGATTATACGGGTCGTAGGTTTCTGTGGCAAACAGGACGATGGTCGTGATCACGTTCACGCCCTTGTACGGGGTCCAGTCGGCAGAGCCGAGCTGCTGCTACCTCCTCGAGGTCGACGACATCTGCATCCTCCTCGACTGTGGCTGGACCGATGACTTTGACGTCGGCCTCCTCGAGCCCTTGGCGCGCGTCATCGACAAGATCGACTTGGTCTTGATCTCGCACCCGGACCTCGCCCACATGGGCGCGCTGCCCTACGCCATGGGCACGCTTGGCCTCAAGGCGCCAGTGTACGCGACGCTGCCCGTGTATCGCATGGGCGAGATCGTGCTCTACGAAGCCTTTCAGGCGCGCACAAAGGACGATCTGGCCTTCAACCTCTTCTCGCTCGACGACGTGGACCATGTGCTCGAGACGTTTATCCAGCTCAAGTACTCGCAGAAGCTGCGGCTGTCCGGGCAAGGCGAAGGCATCTACATCACACCGCACGCTGCAGGACACCTCATTGGCGGGTCCATCTGGAGCATCGTCAAGGAGACCGTACAGATCGCGTTCGCCTCGTGCACGCTGACATAGCCATTCTAGGACGAAATCATCTACGCAGTCGACTACAACCACCGCGCCGACCATGTCTTGAGCAAGACGTTCCTCGAATCGATCTCGTACCTTGGCGCTATATGGCATCTCTTATCTCGGCATGGCGTAGGCGCCCGACGCTCCTCATCACAGACTCGATGCACCTGCACAAGGAGCAGCCCAAGATGAAGGACCGCGACGAACGCTTGCGAGACGACGTGGTCAACACCCTCCGACGCGGCGGCGACGTGCTCATTCCGTGCGACAGCGCCGGGCGCGTCCTCGAGGTGCTGCACGTGCTCGACCAGTACTGGATCAAGCTCAAGTCTGTGTACCGGCATCCCTTCCCTCGTATTGACGCGTGCATAGGCTCAAGTACCCGATCGCGCTTCTCCACACGATGAGCTACTACGCGCCCAAGGCGGCCCAGGCCATGCTCGAGTGGTGCAGCGAGCGCATCTCCAAGAACTTTGACATTGGCAAGCCCAACCCGTTCCAGTTTACGTAAGCAACTGCTTCCTCTTGCGTATCAACTTGCTTTTTGCTCCAACTACAACAACCCTAGACACGTCAACGTCATTCACAGCCTCGAGGAGCTCGACAAGCTGCCGAGTCCCAAGGTCATTCTGGCCACGTCACCGTCCATGACGCAGGGCTTTGCGAAAGACCTCTTCGTGCAGATGGCGCCGCACCCCACCAACCGCATCTTGTTTGTGACGACGCCGCCCGCGTCGTCCCTCGCGGCCCAAGTGCAGCACAACGCGTCGGTCGTCGTCAAGCAGTCGCGCAACGTGCCGCTTGAAGGCGCCGAGCTCGCGGCGCACGAAGCCAAGGAGCGGCGGCGCATCCAGAACGAGGCCGAGCTCAAGGCCAAGGAGATCGAGGAAGCTGCGATGGAAGACATGATGATGGGCATTGCCGAGTACGAGTCGGAGGACGACGACGACGCCGACATGGCCTCGGACAAGCTCAAGACCGTCGCGCCGATTGAGAAGCGTAGTGTCAAGAGCCAAGTGACGACTGAAAACTCATGGAAACCGTAGCGTCGGCGCAGATGCGCGGGTCGTTCAAGGTCGGCTTTGGACAGTTTGCCACGGCGCGGTACCCCATGTTCTTTGCGATCGAGACCAAGTCCGAGTGGGACGAGTACGGCGAGGTGCTGCCTCTTTGTCTCTTCTTCGTCTCTGACGCATCGGTGACGCAGGCGATCCAGCCTGAAGCGTTCAAGGACTTGACACAAACGGCCAAGAGCCGGAAGCGCAAGACGACGAGCTCGGCCGAGGACGGCGCGACGGCGGATGTCAACATGGGCGACGACGACGACGCCGAGAGCGGCGAGAACCGTCCGATGAAGACAGTGTTTTCAAGCGCGACCGTCGAGGTGCACGCGGCCGTGAGCTTTGTCGACTTTGACGGCCTCGCGGACGGGCGCGCGATCAAGAACTGCCTCGATAAGGTCAAGCCGCGCAAGCTCATCTTGGTCCACGGCACGCCCGAGACCTCGGACGAGCTCAAGACGTACGTCGACAGCTCGATTGACGCGTGCGAAGCGGTGTTTTGCCCGCAGCCCAACGAGTGCGTCGACATCGAGTCGGACACGACCGTCTGCAAGGTCTCGCTCAAAGAAGCCTTGTACACGTCGGCCCACTTTCAAAAGGTATGAACACGTCGCAAGGAGGCAGGTGGAGACATGGGGGGATCGATGTAGGTGGGCGTTCACGACGTGGCGTACATCCACGGGCACCTCGAGTTTCAAGGCACGACGTGCGTCCTCGACAAGGCCGATGTCGACGCGCCGCACGAGCCCATGCGCCTCTCGCAGGGCAAGATCACGCTCGACTCGATGAAGCAACTCCTCGCAAAAGCGGGTTTCAAGGCCAACTTTTCCGGCGGCATGCTCGTCTGCGACGACGGCGTCGTGCTCAAGCGCGCGCGCAACAACGAGATCATGGTCGAAGGCACGCTGAGCGCCAGCTACTACCGCATCCGCGACATCCTCTACGGCCAGTACACGCTCGTCTAGTAACCTAAACACGGTGTCGACAAACTCTCTCGTCGGGCTGTATCGTCTGCTGCTCTACCCAAGGCGCTCCTTGGGAGGTTGGCAACCAAGGGAATTGCCCTAGCCTCCGGGATTATGTCAAGTGTATCAGCCCTACCCGTAGCAGATGCGAGAATCGATTTGTCAGATTCTTCTATCTTTTCAAGATGAGAATAGACAATAATGTGTGAAGGCCAAAGATGCTTTCTTCATTACAAGGTTGGCACTACTTCTTTTCCATCTCTCCCGTGAGGATTCAGCAACTACTAATTTAGTACTGGGCCTTCTTGGCGAGTTCGGCGGCGACGGCCTTGGCGCGGAGCTCGAGCTTCTTCTGCGTCTTGAGGCCCATGATGCCACCGCCCCACTTGCGGCGGTGCGTCGATTCGTCGTTGAACTGGGCGCGGAACGCCGTGTTGAGCGAGTCGAACTTGGCCTTGTCTTCCTTGTTCACCTGCGTGAGGGCGACGACGGCGGCGTTCTTCTTGTGGACGAGCTGCCCGAGGCGAGCCTTGCCCTTGACGATGCAGTACGGGATGTCCATCTTGCGGCAGAGGGCCGGGAGGAACACGACAAGCTCGATGGGGGTGACATCGTGGGCGATGCACACCATCTTGGCCTTCTTGTTCTCGATCAACGACGTGACGTGGTTAAGACCGTACTTGATCACGGCCGGGGGGGCCGAGACCTGCTCCTTGCCGGCGGCGATGTCGCGAAGACGCTGGGTCTTGGCGGCCTTCGACTCAGGCTGGTACTTGAGGAGGAGCTTGTAGAGGTCCGTGGCGGCGTTCTTGTCGAGCGTGTTCGTGAACTGGTTGATGCTCGGGGGGACCTTGAGGCGCGTGGTCAAGATCTTGTGCTGGCGCTGGAGGCGCACGTTCTTGGGCCAGCGGACGAAGCGCGAGAGGTCGCGCTTGGGCTACAAAAGGCGCATGAGCACGACTGCTGCGTGGCCGACTCGGTCGATCGTGGTCACGACAACGGCAGATATAGGGTACCTTGGGTGACTCAATCACTTAGGAAAGGATGAGGCCACCACAAGTCGTTTATATCATTGCGGTATGTGGTACCCGCTACGGTCCCGTTGCGACCACCGGCGAGGCTAGGCCATTGCTGGCGAAACCTGCCGGCGGCTGCGCCGGGACCTTGTGTGTTGTGTTCGACGACAGACGAGCCATGATGGCGTCGTTGTGTCTACTTAGCATACCTGGATGTCACCACCAAGACGGAAGTTCTTGGGGGCCGACGGGAAGAGCGGGTCGGCGCCCTTCTTCTTCGACGCCGTCGACTTGGCAGCCGGCTTGGCGGCGGCGGGCTTCTGCGTGGTGCTAGCACCCTTCAGGACCTTCTTGCTGGGCATTTTGAGATGGAAAAATGAAGAATGGCTAAATCTAATGCAATCTCACGGACCAGTAATTCGCCGCCAACCAATTTCACGCGATTTGCGCCAATCACAAAAAAGCATCGTATTGCAGCCAATCCGCGCGCGGCGCTCACCCAATTCGGACCAGCGGATACAAATAGGACATATCCGAAACGAACGTGCCCACCAACGTCCAACGTCCGCCATGGCCTCGCCGTCGGGACCGCTACCGACGGCTCCATGTACCTATGCTGTACCGTAGATGCGATGGCGTAGAGGCCATACCATGTATTCCCGGCGACGAGGCGGCGCGCATGGCGAAGCAGTGGCTACGAGTCAATGGAACGTCGCCAGCTGCTGCAGTGTCTCGGCGCCGCGCTGGCCTATCGCGTGGCCACGACAGCCACGGCGTGGCCCATGCTCGTCCTCGGCGGAGCCCGTAGCTATCATGGGCGCGGTCCATGGCGACAGCGCGCAGAGCGGTCCTCGTCGACGCCGGTCGCCGCTTCCACAGGAACGTGGCGCGAAGGTGATGGAGGGGTTACATGCGCCCGACCGTTCTCGGGTCGGCGTATTAAAAAGCGTTCTTAATTCGACATACACATTCCAAGTGTCGCATGCAAAATATTATAAGACAGTGGAACCAGCTGATTTTAAAAAGATACTGGTGGCACATACCAATGTCCAGTCAAGATAAACAAGAAGCAAAAAAATACACTGGAGCATTGGTCACACGTGGGATCTTTCATTTTGAGCGACTCCGTCCAGAGACCATGAGTCAACTGAACCAGGCGATGGCCGCGCTCGCCGTCGAGATCCCGGCGACCGACGCCCATGGCGCGACCTTGTCGCCCAAGCTCCTGTACAAGGACCAGCTCGAGATCCTCCATCGCATGCTCAGCCTCGAGACGCCGACGCTGACCGTCAAGATGCTGCAATACCTCACGCACGACGAGGTCTGCGCTGCATTCATCTCGTTCATCACGCGCGTCGTGCCCGAAGTCGACGAGAACCAGACGACGTTCCTTCGCAATGGCCCGCGCAAGCTCCGCGCCCACCACCGCGACCACATGGAAGCACGCGATGTCGACAACGTCACGGACGAGCTCTTGAAGAGCTACCACGTGACGATGATGCTCACGGACGACGAAAACTCGGAGCCGATCATGAACTTTCTCCAGAACAAGACGCCGCTCATCGTGCGCTGCCTCTTTGGCCTCTTCCAGACCAACTCGCGCGGCAACTTTCACCACGGCTGCCGGCTCCTCGACCGCCTCTTGCGCTACCACCTCGACGACGTGTACAAGACGATCGCGGCCGACGGCGTCGAGCGGTATATCAACGCGATGCTATTGCATCTCGAGGAGGCCCCGGTCGCCGACGTCTTTCTCGCGATGATCTGTAAGCCGCACAACGCGGCCTTCCTTCGCATGTACAAGGGCTCGCCGGACGCGAAATGGCGCTTCTTCCGCGGCCTCTCGGACATGAACATCCTCGTGACGCTCGGCGAGCACATTTGCAAGCCCGAGTACAGTGAAGCGCACGCGGTGGCGGCCGCCGACGTCTTCCTCGAGCTCATCGATCGCCTTGCAGCCGACGACAATGGCGAGCTCCTTTTGCAGCCCTTGGGGCACTCGACGCAGCTCCTCAACGACCTCATCAAGACGTTCTTGCACGTGCTTAACACGGCCGACCCGCTGTCGTATCTCGCGGTCCCCAGCGGCCGGCGACAGGCGGCGCTTCGCTGTCTCCTCGGTCTTTTGCACAAGAGCTCGCTCGAGCAAGTGCCGGGGCCGCCGACGTCGCCGTACCACTCGTTTGGCGGCACCGTGGTCAACCTCGTACCCAACCAGCTGCTGTCGCTGCGCTCGCGCATCTTCGCGCACGTCGGGAGCGTCGGCATCACCAAGTACCTGGCCTACATGGTCGAGACGCACCGGGCGCAGCTCAAGATGAATCCGCAGAGCACGCTGAGCGTGCAGCACACAGGATACAGCGTCGCGTACCCGTTTACGGGCTTCCGCCTCGATCTCGTCCTCATGGTCGACGAGCTGGTCAAGAACGACCCGAGTTTGCTCGAGCAGTTTACGACCGAGGCGTGGCAAGCGCTCATCTTTTGGTTCATCCAGTTCCCCCACAACAACCTGTACGCCGGTACGTTCGCGCGGCTCTTGCTCGCCGCGCTGCGCACGAACGACGAAGCGATCCTCAAGCCATTGCTCCAGAAACTCAAGTTTGTCACGACGCTCGTCAAGGCGTTCGAGTCGGGCGACGCTGCCGGCCGCGGCTACGTGCTCCACTGCTGCAACCTGCTCCGCCTCCACGCATCCGGGGTCGCGCCCGATGCGTACTTGCGCTCGTTCCTCATGTCGCATGCAATGTGGCACGAGTTTGAGCCGCAGCTGCGTGCGATCACGTCGGCGATGGTTATCAAGGGCCTCGGCATCAGCGTGCCGACCTCCATGTCGCGCTACGGCGGGTACGGCGGGTATAGCAGCCTCCCGGACCCGCCCGAGTCGGTGCCCGGCATCGACCTCGGCTCGGACTACGCCAAGAGCCTCGGGTTTCTCGATGACGTGGCGTGGCCCATCGAGCTCGTCGACAGCGAGAAGAAGAAGAAGAAGAAGAACAAGAAGCACAAGAAGAAGACGAGCATTGGCACCGAAGACGACGACGAGGCCATGACGGACGACGACGCGATCGCAGCGCATTCGCCGAAGAGTCGCAGCCGCAAGCAGAGCAGCGAGCCGAATGTCACGGAAGACAACGACGAGGACGTGGACGGCGTGAGCGAGAACGGGAAGAAGGCCAAGAAGAAGCGGAAGAAGAGCAAGAAGAAGGACGACGACGCGGCGGCGTAAAGACCGAGTCCAGTGTACAGACGCGCGAGGTAGAAGTTCAGTAGTCGAGTAGCACAGGTAGACGCCACGGAGTATTAAGTATACTTCAATCGATCCAATTCACATTGCGATCGTACTCCATGGACCGTAGGACGTACTAGACCCTTGCGCCTGCTACAACAATGCTGCTCGTGGCAGCCGAGGTTGGCATCTCCGTAGTGTCAGACCAACGTCCTCGGCCACAGCATCTCTCGCCACCAACCGCCCATCAGATCTCGTTCGTGTCGGTGCTTCTCCGAGTGGTTTGCTCGCATGCGCTCGTCGTCGGTGGTAAGGCGAGGACCTCGTAGCACTAATTCTGCGCCATTAGTCAACCTGGGTTTTATTTCCTTGGCAGTATGTGATGCGGCGGCGTGTTCGAATTCGATGGTCGCACAACCTTCGATTCTGCAGCTCAGTTGGCAAGAGGAGGATGACCAAGGAGCTCGGTGCTGAGACTATTGTGCACCGGCGCGCCGACATTCGCCGGGCGACGAGCCTCCGCGACCTCGACGTGCGCGTCTTCCCGCTCGACGACGACGACGATGCCATTGTCACGAGCGTGTTTCCGTGGACGACGCTGTACGAGGTCGTGCTCGAAAACCGGAGTAGCGACGTGAGCTGGAAGATCTACTGCACGTATCGGGACGTGCGGCGCTATCTCGAGCGCGTGCGCAGCCTCGCCAAGCACGCCAAGAGCACGCGCCTCCAGCAGCTGCGGAGCGAGACGCGCCGGATCTTGCTCTGCGCGATCTTTGCCGAGAAGGCGCCCGTGATTGCCAAGCTCTTGCGCTTGGTGTTTGGCGCGATGGCGGCGACGGCCGACCAAGTCGCGACCTGCGATTTGCACCGCGATCTGCTCCATGCGACCAGCGACTTTTGCGCGATCGAGTACCCGCTCGAGGTTCGCGCGAGCCAGCGCATGCGCCAAATGTCGGCAGTCGAAAGCGTCGCGGGCGACTGCTGCATCTGCCTCAGCACCGATGACGCCCCACACGTCGCGCTGCGCTGCGGCCACGTCTTCCACGAGACCTGCATCTGCGTGTGGTACTACTCGCGCCTCAACTGCCCCATTTGCCGGCAATAGCTTCTTGCCGTGTCTATTTAGTGCTTCGTGTATACCCTCGTCAGCCCATGTATTCTACAATCCAACTCGAGACTGCGGTATGCTTGCACCGTCCGCGCCCTTGGGTGGGGGAGCGGGACCAACGCGGATCGTGGAGTAAGAACATAGTATCGTACGCTAAGAACGCGGCTGCCCTTCTTGACGTTAAAACACACTTGGCGGTACTACAGACTCGTGCAGACGGGCGTCGCAGCAACGGCGAAGGACGGGCGGCTGCAGGAATATCTACCATCGCAGATATGTGTTTCGTGGGAAGAGGGAAGCGCAGCGGCAGAGGAGGACGAGGCATGCGGAGCAAAGCTGTCGTTGGACGCCGTCGAGCCAGACGGGGCAGAGCTGGCGCGGCGGCGCGTCCGATTGCAGAGTGAAGCCGTCGGGCTGCGAATGGGCATCGAACGTTCTCGAATCCAGCTTTGGGATACGTGGCAGTCTCTGCGTCCACCAGACGAATATTCCTTGCTTGCAACGGCCGTCCGCGAGAATCGAGCGCCAATCGACGACGCAATAGCCGTCACGACTGCTAACGCACCAGTACTCCAGCGGGATCATCCTCATGAATGCTGAATCCAGTGGCTCGGGCTGCATGCAACCGAGAAGAGGTTGCGTCACCAACGTCCACGTCGGTCAGTTGATTTTTTTTCAAAAATCAAGTACTCGTACTCCCACCCGTTGACGCTTGCGCTCATCACTACACGACTAGAAGCGAGCCCTCGTAGCGCAGGGTATTACGCGTTGCCTTTGGCCGCTTGCTTCCGCTGGCTTGTCGCCTGGTGCAAGGACGTGGGGCTGTAGTTGGTGCTGTCTCGGAGGCTGTGGCGTTGTTTTGAGGGAGTTGACCTGAATTGTATGGCGAATCTAAAATTGCCTGCGAAAACGAATAGTAGGGATTCTGAGAGGATATTTTCATTTCGCGCAGGAGCGACAAGGTCGACGGAAGGATGGCAATGAACATGGGCTCGCCCGCGGAACTCACGGCCCTCGTCGGCGTGCTCGAGCAGTCGCTCTCTCCCTTGGCCGAGCCTCGCCGGGCCGCCGAGGCCAGCCTCCAGGCGATCCTCAAGCAGCCCAACGGGCCGCTCCTCCTCCTAAGCGTGCTCCGGGCCAGCGAGGTGCCGCAAGCCATTCGTCTTTCGGCCGCGATCGCCTTCAAGAACACGATCAAGAAGGAATGGGACCCCGAGGATGGCTCGATCCACGTCGAATGCAAAGCGCTCGTGAAGGAACACATTGTCGGGCTCATGTGCGAGATGCCCGAGAGCCTCATGAAGCAGCTCTCGGCCGCGCTCTACACGATCGGCGAGTACGACTTTCCCAACCAGTGGCCGCAGCTGCTGCCGCAGATCGTCGAGAAGCTTGGCAACCCGAGCAGCGACTTTCGCGCCATCAACGGCGTCCTCGAGACCTCCAACGCCATCTTCAAGCGCTTCCGCCACGCCTTCAAGAGCGACGCGCTCTTCCTCGAGCTCAAGTACTGCCTCGAGCAGTTCCAGGTCACCTTCTCCTCGTTCAGCATAGCCGCTCACACTCTCCTCTGTAGGCGCCGTTGCTCATGCTCTTTGGCTCGCTCACGGCGCGCTTGCCGCAGACGTCGGACCTCAACGACGTGCGTGCGATCCTCACCGCGTTGCGCACGATGAGCCGCATCTTCTTCTCGCTCAACTGGCAAGACCTGCCCGAGTACTTTGAGGACAACATCAAGAGCTGGATGGAGGCGTTCGAGTTCCTCCTCAAGTACGAGAACAACAAGATCGCCGACGCGTCCGAGGAGGTCGAGGTCGACCTCATCACGCTCGTGCACAGCGCGGTCCTCGACAACATTACCATCTACGCAGAAAAGTACGACGAAGAGTTTGGGCCGTACCTCCCGAGCTTCACGCAGACCATTTGGCACTACCTCTCGACGAAGCTCTCGCTCTTCCCCAAGCACGACGACGTGGCAGCGAAGAGCATGAAGTTCCTCCGGTCGGTCGCGCTCCAGGGCATCAACAACCACCTCTTTGAGAGCGAGAGCGTCCTCTCGGAGCTCTGCAACTCGATCGTGGTCCGGAACCTCCAGCTGCGCGAGTCGGACGTCGAGCTCTTTGAGGACAACCCGCTCGAGTACATCCGCAAGGACATTGAAGGCTCGGACGGCGACACGCGCCGGTCGGCGGCCACCGAGCTCCTCCGCGGCCTTCGCTCCAAGTTTGAAGCCGCGGTCACACGCATCTGCCTCCAGACGATCAACGTGCTTTTGCAAGAGTACTCGGCGTCGCCGCAGACCAAGTGGATGCAGAAGGACGTGGCCATCAACCTCGTGACGGCGCTCGCAGCCGTCAAGCAGACGCGGACGCGCGGTGTCTCGGAGGTGCACCCGAGCGTGCCGCTGCTCGACATCTTCCAAGGACACGTGCTCCCGACGCTGCAGTCGCCGGACGTCACGTCGCCGACGTCGCTTCTTTTGATTGCTGGGGCGCTCAAGTTTGTTGCGACGTTCCGCAATAACCTCCCGGCGCACCTCACGCAGCAGCTCTTCCCGTTGCTCTCGAGCTGCCTGTTGCCCGATCAGTTTGTCGTCCACAGCTACGCAGCGTACTGCATTGAGAAGATGCTGACGGTCAAAGACGGCAACGAGCGCCGGTTCACGAAAAGCATGCTCCAGCCGTACCTTGCGCCGCTCCTCAACCAAGTGTTTACGATCCTTGTCGCACCATCGTACCCAGAGAACGACTACCTCATGCGCATGGTGCTGCGCCTCTTTGTGGTCGCGCAAGAGTCGGTCGTGCCGTACGCCGATGTGTGTGTCCAGCAGCTCACACTGCTCCTCTCCCAAGTGTGTGCCAACCCGAGCAACCCGGCGTTCTCGCACTGCCTCTTTGAGGCCCTCTCGATGCTCATCAACAACGTGTGCAAGGCCAACCCGGCGTTTGTCGAGACGTTCGAGCAGCTCCTCTTCCCGCCCTTTCAGCAAGTGCTCATGTCGGACGTCGAAGCGCTCTGCCCGTACGTCTACCAAGTGCTCGCGCAGCTGCTCGACTTGACGACCGCGCCGACGCTCTCGTCCGCGTACCACAACCTCTTCCCTGTGCTCCTCTCGCCTGCCCTCTGGGAACGCGTGAGCACGGTCGCCGCGATCGTCAAGCTCCTCGAAGCGTACCTGCGCAAGTACCCGACCGCCGTCGCGTCGCACATCCAGGGCATCCTCGGCGTCTTCCAGAAGCTCGTGTCGAACCGCACGACCGAAACGCAAGCGTTTGCCCTCCTCAAGCCGATTCTCGTCTGCCTCCCGCTGTACGACCTCTCTTCCTTTCGCAGCGCATGTCTCATGTGGTTAGGGCGTCGTACGAGCCGTTGCTGGTCGAGGTCGTCAAGATCCTCATGATGCGCCTCCAGACGCGCCTCCACGGGCGCAACGGCACGCTGTACGTCAAGGAGATGCTCTTGACAGTGAGCATCTTTATGGCCAAGCACGGCACGACGCGGCTGATCAACGCCGTCGAAGGCTGCCAAGCGGGGTATATTCTCTCGTTTTGCATCCGGAGATGTTGCTCATGCGGGTACTAGCATGATGCGCATGCTGCTTCCGATCTGGATCGAGCACATTGTGCGTGTCAGCGGCGCCGACAAGAAGGTACGACGATAGGGCTACTCGCAGATGATGGGACGCTGCGTGATGTAGCCTGCGGTCGTGGGCCTCACGCTCCTTGTCTGCGACTCGCCGTTCAAGCAGGATGCGAACGCAATTCGCACGCTTCTGCCTGCGCTGGCCACGTTGCTGCTGGAGAAGGAGAACAAGACGGCGCACATTGCGGCCAAGACGGAAGACGACATCTTGCTCGACCTCGAAGAAACAGGTGCGAACGATGATGTGTGGGAAGACGAGCTGACGGGGAATAGGGTACGACGCGGGCTTTTCGAGCTTGCACTTTTCATCGGCGGCGGGCGCGATCGACTACCTCGACTTTATCCCGAATTACAAGCGCCAGCTGTGCGAGTCGATGAGCCAGCTCAGCCGCGCGACGCCCGGCGGGGTACAGCGCCACCTTTCTCTTCTCCATAAATGTTGACGCTTTCTTGGCTAGCTCAACACTCTCGCAAACGAAGCTCTCTCGCCCGAGCTCCTCCAAGCGTGGACGGCAACGTTCGCGGCCGAAAGCATCCCGCTCATGTAGGCGCCTTTGAGAAGTTTTGATCTTCAACTACCAACACCAACTCTGCATCTGCCCTTTTCTTCTCCTTGCAATCACCAGACTACATATGAGTTGGCTGTCTAGCTCTTTGGTGCACTCTCAAAACCAGAGGCTATAAGGACTTGGTCGTAGACTTGAAGCTGCACGCGACTACTGCGCGGAGACGGCTCCACGTCAGGGGCAACGCCATCTGTTTAGCGATTTGACCTAGGATCGCATGCGAGCTGGGGGTGGTGCTCTGGTGGTATTATACGTCCCCGCCGACGCGCGGTGAGGCAGCAACGCCCGACGATGATGCAGGACTAAGATCGGATAGCAGCCGAGATGACGTGGCGCCGTCGTGATTACTGAACGCTTTGGCCGCAGCACATCTTTGATGATGCATCCAAATCGAGTGGCGGAAAATGCGACCGAGGTTCCCCACCCATGGCATTTGGAATCCGCAGCCTGGCAGCGCGGGCACCACTGCTGTGGGGTATACAAACTTCAAGTCACCGGGTCGCATAACCGTTTGCGCAACTTGATTGTATTGCATACAAATAGCAAGAGAAATTGAAAACCCGCATAAAAATACGTCCGCGGAGGTTTCGGCGATTGAGATTGAGTTGCAAATTCAACCCGTCGGTCGCAAGCAGCAGTACGATGTGTGGTATCATCGCGGTCCTCCTCGCCAACAAGCACGAGCACTGCAACCAGAGCTTGTACGACGGCCTCACGGTGCTCCAGCACCGCGGCCAGGACGCCGCCGGCATCATGACGTCGCACAACGGCAAGCTGCACCTGCGCAAGGACAATGGGCTCGTCCGCGACGTCTTCAAGCAGAACCACATGGTCTCGCTCATGGGCTGCATGGGCATCGGCCACTGCCGGTACCCGACCGCCGGCTCGTCCAGCAGCTCGGAGGCGCAGCCCTTCTACACCAACTCGCCGTACGGCATTGCGCTCGCGCACAATGGCAACCTCACCAACTCGCACGAGCTCGTGGACCAGCTCGCCAACACCAACTTTCGCCACGTCAACACCGACTCGGTATCGTATTGAGATTCGCGATCGATGAATCTCAAATGAAACGTGGCGTAGGACTCGGAGATGCTCCTCAACATCCTCGCCGACGAGCTCCTCAAGTCGACGCACCCGCTCACGAGCTCGCAGATCTTTGACGCGGTTTCGCGCCTCTACACGCGCTGCCGCGGCGGCTACGCGGTCGTCGCGCTCATCAACGGGTACGGCATCCTCGCCTTCCGCGACCCCAACGGCATCCGCCCGCTCGTCTATGGCTCACGCAAGAGCCACCACGGCACCGACTATGCGGTCGCGTCCGAGTCGGTGGCCATCGACACGCTCGACTACAAGCTCCAGCGCGACGTGGCGCCCGGTGAGGCCATCTTTATCGGCAACGGCGGCCAGTTTGAGAGCCGCGTGTGCTGCCCGAACGCCAAGCTCTCGCCGTGCATCTTCGAACACGTGTACTTTGCCCGCCCGGATTCGGTCATTGACGGCATCTCGGTCTACCAAGCGCGTCGCAACATGGGCTCCAAGCTCGCCGAGAAGGTGCTGCGCGAGTACCCGGACCACGGCATCGACGTGGTCATCCCGATTCCGGATACGTCGCGCACGTCGGCGCTCGAGATGTCGCACCGCCTCAACATCCCGTACCGCGAGGGCTTTGTGAAGAACCGGTACATTGCCCGCACGTTCATCATGCCGGGCCAAGTCGCACGCAAGAAGACGGTGCGCATGAAGCTCAACGCGATCAAGAGGTATCCCTTGGATCTCGTATTTGGGTGTCTGACGCTGTTTTGGGTAGTGAATTTGAAGGCAAGGTCGTGCTGCTCGTCGACGACTCGATCGTGCGTGGCACCACGGGTCGCCAGATCGTGCAGATCGCGCGCGAATCGGGCGCGAAGAAGGTTTACTTTGCGTCCGCGGCGCCGTGCATTCGCCACCCGAACGTCTACGGCATCGACATGCCGACGCGCGACGAGCTCATTGCGCACAACCGCACCGAGGTCGAGATCGCGCGCGAGCTCACGGCCGACCACGTCATCTTCCAAGACATTGCCGACCTCAAGGCGAGCTGCGAGCTCGAGAACCCGCAGATCAAGCTCTGGGACGCCTCGTGCTTTGACGGCTTGTATGTGAGCGGCGACATCAACGAAGCGTACTTCAAGCGCCTCCATGATGAGCGCTGCGACGCGCGCATGCAGATGAAGAACCTCACGATGGGCACGGCGCCGATCTACCGGACCGTCTCGGACCCCATGTGCGACGAGGTCATCGACATGTACAACAACACGCAATAAGAACTGCGTGGGTTGTAACCGACAAATATTACGTACCGTGTGCATTGTGCGTGGCTCGCTTGCATAGGACGCTGCCACGTGGAACGGTAAAGTGGGGCATTTGTTTGGTCCAAATGAATGTAAATTGTACAAAATCACAATTCATTGTGAAAAGAAAGCTGCCAAACTCAAATTGTGCTGTGGATTCCTTCCTTTTCACATCTTGAAACGCCGCCGAAAAATGTTTTTTCAGGGCAGCGACAGCATCGAGCTCCTCACGGCGAGCGGGAAGGACCCAGCAGCGCAGTGGAAGACGCTTGGCAAGGTCCGGCGCGAGTTTGACAAGGCGTCCAAGGCCTACCTCTTTGTGCTCGACGGTCCCGCGGCCGCCACCAAGCTTTCGCTCCCCAAAGATACCAAGCCATGTAGACTGCCCACTGCATGTTGCACCAGGCTTGATGCACAATGTAGTGGGCCTCACGCACCGCTACGTGGTGCTGCAAGCGTGGCTGCCGAGCGGCAAGGCCATCTCGCTCGAGCTCGGCGTCACGGACGTGGCGGGCAACCGCCGCCGACTGCTCCTCTCGACCGCATTCCGAGACTGCGCCGTGCACCAGCTGCATGCTCAGGTAGACCTACCTCGTCATCTCGTACTACAATCACGCGATGCATTAGATTCCTTTTCAGCAGCTGCGCCGGGAGACATGGATGCACTGGACCTTTGACGTCGCGCGCCTCGTCGCGTCCGCCTTCCCGAGCCAAGCGCTGCGCACCCTCGACTCGATCGTCCTCTGCGGCTCGTGGAAGCTGCGGCGCATCTTCACGATGAAGGACCCGCCCGTGAGCGCCGCCGCCGCCTTCGCTTCGGGTCGCTGCCTCCCATTCCTTTTTGCTTGACGTGGTCTCTGTAGACGACGAGCATTACGTCGAGATCCCGCGGGCCTTTGCAGTCCTAGGCTGCGCGGTGGAGACCTTTGCGATCCCGCGCATCGCCAAGCCAGCGGCCAGCCGCCCCGAGACGGCGCCAAAGACCAAGAAGCCGACGCCGGCACCGCGACCTCACTCGTCGGCCTGCGCGGCCAAGCGACCAAGTGCAACGCAAAATGCTGATGGTGGGAAGAAGCCGAGTGTTCTCAAACCACCAACACCACAGACGACCGAGCGTCGGGAACCCACCTCGTCGCACGTGGATCGACGCGGCAGTGAGGCAGTCGACCACTCGAGCAGTTTGGTTCGGAGCTCGGCGCCGACGAGCGGATATCGACCGTCGCCCTCCATCTTTGATTTTGCGTCGCTTCGCATTCCTCCACTGCACACGACACCGCCTCCCAAGCCTCCGGGAACCCTCTCCAAGTTTGCCTCGTGGGAAGATGACGACGACGACGATGCTGGCCGAGGGCTCACGTCGCGCATGCAAACTGCCATGGACAAACCGTTGCGTGTCGACGAGGTGGTGACGCCGCCCCATGACACACCGTTGAAGAGCGACCACGAAGAGCGAACAGCCATGACAAAAGAGACTCTCAACCAAAACGAATCTCGGGCTACGAGTGTGCTTGACAACGGCTCTGAACCGACAGCCACGTGGAGTGCAAGGGCGCTGCTCGAGGCGGCATCGAGCCGGCTCGTACATTGCCTGCACCGTCGCTGGTCGGCTCATCCTCGTGTAGGGGGCTTCTTCACCTGCGTCCATGGACGTCGAATACGAGATGATGCCAGTCCCCCAGCCTGCTAGTGTGCCATTGAGCAAAGTGGAGGTGCCCGAGATGCCCGAGATGCCCGAGGCGGCCGACAGGGCAACCAGCGACTGCCACAGAGTACGACACGACGACGACGACGGGATCGAACAGGACGACGACGCAGGCAGCGATGTTTCCTTCGACATGTACTCCTGTGTGCATGACGTGAGCGCTTGACCGCGTACATAGGACGGACGAGCTTGCTCCGGCTGCTGAAGAAACCAGTTTCGACTTTGACAACGAGCTCGAAGAGTCGTTGCCAGTAATGGTCCACAAGAGCTTCGCGTCGCCCGCCAAGACGCCTCCAGAGCCGATGCTATCGTCCATGTATACTCCTACGCAATGGCACGTCGTTCTCCACTCGTGATAATGGCGTAGGGAGCAGTTGTTGTCGAGTGCTCGCCAAGACCCGCGGCTCAAGTCGCTTCTCGGTACGTCTAGTCGTTTGCATCCTAGATACTCATGTGTCTCTAGCGTCGACAGGTACATTAGTTACAGTAGTAGAGGACACATTCGACTCGGTCACGCTGTGCGTGGCAGATTGGTCGGCGCCCGAGCCCAGCAGCATGGACTTGCTCTACGACCCGATCTTGCATTGCTATCACGACCCGATGACCAACAAATACTACCAGCTCAAGTAGTCGTACGAACCCGAACCCCTTTTCCTGTACAACGCTATCACTTTCTCGTTTTGATATGAGTCATAATGTTTAAAGATACCGTATCGATACACTACGTGCGCTGCCCAATGCGCGAGACGACGACGGCTTCTTCCTCGCCGACCTCGTTGAGAAGATGCACCGTGAGTGCATGGTGGTTCGGTGGCGCGTGACGCCGGCGCCGAAACAAGTTCGCTTTCGTCATCCCAAAGTGGCCCTGCGCCAGCTTGCGACACATACACCGCGGCTTCTCGATGAGCACGGCCATGTGCGCATCGTCGTCCATCGGCAATGTCGCATCAATCGCCCCGACAGCCGGCGTCAAGCATAGCTCAATCTCAATCGCGTCAAAGTAGTAGGTCGCCGGCGACGCTTCAAAATGCTTGGTGTGGCGAAGATGGTGCACAAAGCCCGCGTCGAGGAGGCTGTTGCCGAGGCGCGTTGCATGCCCAACGTCCGTGGCGTATCCGTGCTCGAGGAGGCAGGACGCGATCTCTTCGCCCGAGACGAGAAGGACGGCGTCAGGCGCAACTTGGCTCCACGAGGCTTTTCGGCTCACGGCGTGCTGCAGTAGCCGGTGGAGGCGCTGGGTGATGACCGGCAGCGTGTCCCGCAGCATGTTTTCGAGCGACGCGACCACAGCGTTGGCCGTCGGACGGTACTCGGGCGATACGCCCCACATGCCCTCGAGGAGGTCCCGAAGCGGCGGGTGCAGCGTCGGGTGCAGTGGCGGGCGTTCGCCGTCGAGGACGACGTTAAAGACTTGCAAATGGCTCTCGACACTGCTATACTTTTCACGTCCGGGGTGCAGGACGTCCCAGAACGTGATGCCGAGACTGTAAATGTCGGCGGCTTCGCTGTAGCTGGCGCGGCCCTGGTGCGCGTCAATGACCTCGGGCGCCATGTAGTCGGCGGTGCCCCGCACCGTCATGCTGCGCTCCGTGCCCATTCCGTCATCGTCAAAGTCAACGCAGCCAGTGTCGTCAGCACCATCGTTGGGACGGGCGGCCATGCTGCGAGACGCGCCGAAGTCGGTGAGCTTGAGCACATGGTTGACGTCCAGCAAAAAGTTGCTCGGCTTGAGGTCCCGGTGCACGAACGGCGGTCGAAAGCTATGGAGGTAGGCGACAGCGCGGGCGGCGTCGAGAAGGTAGCAGAGCCGCGGCCAGAGCGGCTCGGCGAGCTCGGTCTGCGGGCCTGTCAGCAGCGCATCGAGCGAGCACTCGCAGAGCTCCGAGACGAGGCAGATGGTCGGTGGTGAGACGCACATACCGTAGAAGGCGACGATGTTCGGGTGCTTGAGCACTGCGCAGAGCGCGGTTTCTTGGGAAAACTCGGCGATCGTCGCTTCCGAGATCTCATGCGGCGTGTAGACCTTGATAGCGACCGGTTGCTTGGAGTGGAGGAGGCCGCTGTACACGGTGGCGGTCGCCCCGACACCGATTTTTGCTTGGAGCTCGAGATGCGCAAAGTCGATCACGTCGTGCTGGTGGACTTCAAGGAGCACGTGCAGACCTTGCGCCGAGACGATCTCGTGGATACCGCCCGGCGACGGCGCAATGGCCGCGTGCTGTCCGAGGCCGCGCCAGTAGTTGGTGTCGGCTTGGAGGAGGCGCCAGATAAAGTACGGCAGCATCGCAGCCCAGATCGTGCTGAAGAAGATCATGGTCGTGCCGACTTGCCACCCGCCGGCCGCGAAGAGCCAGAGGTGCGCGGTGGACGTGGCGTAATAAACGATCGCAAAGAGCGCAAACTGCCGCCATGCGCTCCGACTCGCGCGCGCTGGCGGCCAAACGAGCAACTTGAGACAGCCGAGTAGCATCACGCCGAGGTACGTGGCTTCGACAATCGGAAGCGCCTCGCGGTTCGAATCGGGTATGACAAGAAAGAGGAGGATCGGGAGGAGCGCCAGCGCGAGTGCCACCAGCAGCGCGTGCCAGAGGGCCCGGCGCGAGACGCTGGCTTGGTGCAGAAAGGCGACGATGAGGTAGAAGAGGCACTGCCGGCCTTGGAGCAGCGCCTGCATAAAGATGGGCGAGTGCACGGCAAACATATCGTCGGTCGCGGCGGCAAAGACAAAGTAGAGGCAGTAGAGCCCCGAGATGGCCATCACGGCCCACAAGAGCGGCTCAAACGACGGTAAAAGCACCTTGCGCGCCGCGGCCGCGTTGCCATTGTACGCTGACGACCGGTGCCGCCGGAGGTAGAGCACGAGGCCGACAGCGATGAGAAGCGTCATCGCGTACCCGACGGCATTGATCGTCTGGAAGTTGCGAAATTTGGCGGCAAAGTATGTGGGCGCAGACCTGTTGCATGGCCGGGGACCCTGGCCCGGGGGCCCCCACCTGCTGCCAGTATAGTTGCCATGGCGGTCACCGTGGCGGCCATCGCCGCGGGGGGCGCCGTCGTAGGGCCGAAAGCCAGGTCCTGAGCTGTTGGCCCACACCATGGAGCAACTGGAGGAAAATCGAAACTGGGCAGCTATCTTGAGTGCAGTAGAAGAGCTGCAATTCGTGACTCATGAAGCATAAAGTTCTGGGCGGCAGCTTCCAGACGAGGCGCATCAACTTCAACCTCAGTTTATGGGTCCTGTTCAGTACAATTGCGTTTTTGAAGTCATCTATCTCTCTGAAAATATTGATATGGCTAGCAAAACGCATTTTATTCGAATTTGTGGCGTCCGCCCTGTGGATAACATCACGGGCGAATCTCACCCCCAAGATATCGTCCTTGCGCTACCAACACTAGCTTACATGACTACTGTATCTGTATCAAGACGACAAGCAATGAATGTAGGTACCCTTACACGTAGGATATTTTGACTTGCAGTCGAGAACGCGACGTCTTCTCCTCGGCCTCGTCGACGCGCCCATCGCCGATGACCATTGCACACCATGTAGCCGCTGCGCTGGTCGTAGAAGACCGCGCCTTGTCATCGCTCGAGATGCCAACGCCATCGTACGCAGCCTCAGCCAACGGACCAGCGCTTGTCAAAGAACCGAGCAAGGGCGCTCGTTCCGACGTCTCTGCTCGTGCAAAGTTGCAACGTTGGCGCAAGGCTGGTCTATATCAGAGCTATTAGCTACGATCAGTGCAACTGATCAAGGTCGCTGCTGTCGTACCACCTGCTTTGTGGCTTCCGTGTTACGGTCCTACATTGCCACACAGTAGCACTGCTACTAGCTGCGAGCTGCGATGAGCACAACCAGCTATAACGAATAGCAGCTCGAACAGCAGCTCTTGCCTTGCCGCCGCCATCTCGAGTCGATGCTCCTCGAGTCATTATCCAACGGCTCCAAGCACGGCTGGATCCGCGACCGTCTGAGATCTGGCAAGTGGTGCCTATCAACAACTGGCCTTTTCTGGCCTTTCTCCCAACGGCCGAGCAAACGACGACGACGCATGAGATGAACGCGACCACGTACGTCTTGGCGCACGCGCGCACGACGCAGCTCGCCTACTCGGCGGGCTACGGCATCACGCTCGGCCTCTCGGTCGCTTGCATCGCGCACCTTCGCCGGCACCGGTCGTCGGCCTACGCCGGCGACGTCGACGCCACGCGCAAGGTGCTCTTGCCAGCGTTCGAGCCGCTCTTTTGGGTCCTCTGCGGCCTCACGGCGCCGTTTGCGCTCTTCTTGGTCTACCTTCTCTGGCGGTCCGAGGCTGTCGCGCCGCGCTCCCGCGTGCTGCCCGAGGCGCTCCTGCAAGGCCGGCAGTGCATCGTATACGTTGTGACCATCTTCTTGCACCAGACAAACGTGTCGGCGCGCGCGCTATGGCGCTCGACGTTGCTGAGCCTTGTGCTCGCCGTCATACCGGTCGTCGTGGCCGCCGTCTTTGCGCATTTCGAGCCCGTCGAGCTGCCAGCCATCACGTCGCCGTCGTGCTACTACAGTCTTGTGGTCGTGCGCGTCGGCGTCATGCTCTACTATCTCTACCTCCTTCGGTGGCCCATGTCCCGAGCGAACCCGCGCATCATCCGATTATTCTGTGCCTACATCCTCGGCTTCCATGCGCTCGTCCTCGCCGTCATGACGCTCGCCTTCCACGAGCAAGTCAAGCCCACCAACCAAACCGTCTTTGTGACAGCCCTGTATGCAAGTGTGACGCCGATCTGGATCTGGCGGCTGCTCAAGGCCGACACGCAGTACTGGCGCGGCCTCGCGAGCGCGACCGAGACGCCCGTGATGGACGAAGCCGTCTCGACGAAAGGCTTGCATGACCTCCTCGACCGCCACCGCGACTGCGTCATCGACTTTGCCCATCTCAAGCTCGAAGTCAAAATTGGTGTTTGCGCTACTGCGCAGATCTACCGTGGCGCTCTCCACGGTCGGTACGCGGTGGCCGTCAAGGTCTACGCGCCGTCCGAGATCACCGAGGCGACGCTCGCCGTCTTCTCGCACGAGACAGCGCGCTGTGCGATGTTTGCCCACCCCAATGTGGTGACATTCTACGGCATGTGCATCTCCCCGCCCATGGTGTGTCTCGTCACAGAGCTCTGCGAGTGCTCGCTCGAGGCGTACCTCGCCGAGCCGCCACCGACGACGCGCGCCCCGGTGCTCGACCAGCTCGGTCTCATGCTCGACGCGGCCCGCGCAGTGGCTTACCTCCACAGCTTCTCGCCGCCCTTCTTGCACCGGGACATACGCCCCTTTAGCTTTCTCCTCGATGACCAGCACGTACTCAAGCTCACCGACTTTTCGGCGGCGCGGCGTCTCGCGCCCCGGGGCGCGGCCACGCCCATCGCCCACCCGGGCGACGTGCTCATGTCGATGCAGGGCACGGTCGAGTACATGGCACCAGAGATCATTGGCGGCGCAAAGGGCGCGGCGATCTACTGCGAAGCCGCCGACGTCTACAGCCTCAGCATGACGCTCTGGGACATTCTGCACCCGGGCCGCGACAAGTACCCGAACGGGTACGGCAACACGTTTCGCGTCTTTGAAATGGTCCTCGACGGCCACCGACCGTCGATGCACCACGAGGTGCATATTGCGCTGCAAGAAATCATTACGAGTGCGTGGGGCGACGAGCCCCACTTTCGCCCGTCGGCCGCCGCCATCGTCCGCGACCTCGAGGCGCTGCAAGTGACGCTGCTGTGCTCGGTGGCCGGCGACATGTACCGGTCGCCACGCTGCGAGCTGCTGCGCTTCCACGGGGCGCCGCGCCCCAAGCTGGCAGTGGGCATCCCGGGGGACGCACTCGTCGACGGCCTCTGCGAGCTCGAGTACGCGCGCAGTCCCCAGGCCGCACTTCGCATCGGGCATATGCTCATGGACGCGGGGTACCTCCATCATATCACCCACCACCGCGGTTTTGAAGGCCGGCCCGACGAACTCTACATGTTTGAGACCGCGGGCTCGCCGCTCGACTGCATTGGCGAAGACGAGTTGTCGGTGCAGGGCGCCGCGCCCCGCGCCCCCGTGGCGACCACCACCGCGACCTGCGCGTGCCGCAGTTATGCCCAAGGCTTTGGTGTTCGGCGGTCTCGTCGGCCATCGACGACACAGCAGCGTCCGACGCCAGCACCACCGCGCCCACGGAAGAGCAAGGTGCCGATGCTACCGATGCAAGACAATGACCGGCTCTCGACTGACAGTATCGTCCTCGCACTCCTCGACGACGCGTGAAACACTATGGGACCCCTGTATGTAAACCCATTTATTAACTTACGGAATGACGAACGACCTGGCCTCGTGTGCAGATCTAGTAACTACGTTCTCAGGCCAAGAGCCAACGTGACTCACGCTGGCGCAATGTCGCCCATACAGTCAGAGATAACCATCGATCGCGTTCTAGTCCCCTCCACGTACGGGTCCTCCTGTGCCAAAACGAGCCTCGGAACTCCCGTCTGTGGGTTAGGTTTAGGGTTAGGTAGTCGACGCGGCAGCTCGACACTCATTCAAGTATTGAAGTAGACAAAAGAAGATACATGATTAGAGACTACACGAATACGATGAGTCGAAGTGAGCTCGCCGACAGCCTACTAGCCGGAAAGCGACGTAGTGTCCGAGACCTTGTGCAGCGAGTCTTCTTCGGCGAGGTCGTTGAGCAAGTGCACAGTGAGCGCGTTCACCTTGGGGCGCTCTTTCCGCGGGCGTTGATACCACTTGGTTTTTGCCTGCGGCACGTGCCCTTGCGCGTGCTGGCGGCAGCGGCACCCAGCTTCAAGGAGGTCGACGTTGTGGCTGCTGTCGCCTCCGTCGTTCGACTTGTTGTCCTTGGAGAGCAGCACGCATGGCTGGCTGAGCTCAATCGCTTGCTCATGGAAGAAGTACGTGATCGTTGCCGAGTCTTCAAATGCCCGCTCGTGCGTCTCGTGGTGCAGGAGACCCGCGTCCATGAGCGCGTTCCCGAGCCGCGTCGCCTCAGCCACCGTGAACGCATACTCGTTCTGGATCAAGCAGTGCGTGAGCTCATTGCCGGTCGCCGCCAAGTGCGGCCCGAGGCACTTGATGACGCGGAGGAGGTTCTGCGCCAGAATGCCGCAGAGCTCTTCTTGGACTTGTTCGAGAGCTTGGACGATCGCCATGGCTGACGGGCGGTACTCGGGCTGCGAGCACCACGCGCTCTCCAGCACGTCCCGCAGAAGCGGGTGCAGCTCGTGGTCGAGCGGCGGGCGCTGGCCGTCGAGTACCATTTCAAAGATTTTGAGCGGGTTCTGGCGGCCGACCGGGTACTTTTCACGGCCCGGGTGCAAAATGTCCCAGAGCGTGATCGCGAGCGAGTAGACGTCGGCGACGTGCGTGTACGTCGCGACGCCTTGCTTGCCTTCGATGACCTCTGGCGCCATGTACTCGATCGTGCCCTTGATCGTCATGGCGCGGTTCGAGAGACTGCGCGACTCGCCAAAGTCGGTGAGCTTGAGCACGTGGTTGACGTCCAGCAAAAAGTTGGCCGGCTTGAGATCCCGATGCAAGAACGGCGGCGAGAAGCTGTGGAGGTACGCGACCGCGCGGGCCGCGTCCAGCATGAGCACGATTTGGGCGAGCAGCGGGTCCGTGTACGCTGGCCGGGGCTGCGTCAAGAGCGCATCGAGCGAGCACTCGCAGAGCTCCGAGACGAGGCAAATCGCCGGCGGCGCGACGCACATGCCATAGAAGGCCACGATGTTCGGGTGCTTGAGCGCGGCGCAAAGCGCGGTTTCTTGGGAAAACTCGGTGATCGTCGCCTCCGAGATCTCGTTGGGCGTGTAGACCTTGACGGCGACGCGCGTCGAGGAGCGGAGCAGGCCCTTGTAGACATCGGACGTGGCGCCAACGCCGATCTTGTCGTCGATCTTGAGATGGGCAAAGTCAATGACATCACGCTGGTGGACTTCAAGAAGGACGTGGAGACCTTGGGCCGACACCACTTCGTGGACCTTTGTGTCGGGGTTTTGCAAAATGGCTTGGCGCCCGACGCCGCGCCAGTGCTCCGTGTCGGCCTTGAGGAGCTGCCAGATCGCAAACGGCGCCAGGACGTACCAAAACGACGTCGTGAAGAGGAAGAACGTGCCTTCGGTCGAGAGGTCCTTGAAGAACATGTACGTCTGCGAGAAGAAGCTCACATAGTAGACGAGCACAAAGCCGAGGAAGATGCGCCACGCGCGGCGATTCGCGCGCGAGCCGGGCCAGACAAAGCGGTAGAGGAACCCGAGCACCATGATCGACCGGTAGATTGTGAGGAGCGTGTACCGGACCTGCAAGTCGGTATCAATCGCGACCGTGAGGAGTGCAATGAGCGGCGCGCCGGCCGCCAAGACGACCGCTATCGCGAGCGCACGGTGCAAGGACGGCAGCGACAAGCTCGGCTGGCTAAGGTACACGACAACGAGGTAGCTGTTGAACTGACGCGGCATGTAGAGCACCTCCGTGTACACGGGCGATGAGAGCGGACCCGAGTATTCGGCGACCGCCGCGCCGAGGTAGAAGCTACAGTACCCGCCCGCAACGGCCGCGAGAATCCACAAGAGCGGCTCAAAGGCTGGGAGGAGGACCTTCTTGGCGGCCTCCATGTCGCCGAGGTACGCTGTGGACCGCGTACGTCGAAGGTACACAATGATCGCGAGCGACGTGGTCAAGAGCAGGCCATAGCCAAAGACGTTGACGACTTGGACCTTGCGGTAGTCATGGTAGAAGACGTCGTCCAGCGCCGGCGCTGGTGTTGCGAGCGCAGACATGATGTGGACGGTCGAATTTGAATTGTGGCAAGCTATGACCCAATGCGAACGCATCCACCTCCGCCTGCGGTTCGTAGGCAAAGTAACGTGCGCCCATCGAATGGCCGACTGTGCGACTGCGTCACGTTGTGCTACACATCACCGGCAACAGTAGTACCCACACCTTTTGAGGTGGCCGTTCGCGGCTTGGGCCTCTCGGGGATCGTGCAATTGACGTGAAACGAGAGCTACTCGGATTACGGTGATGAGATCGCGGTCTTCAGCGCCGTCTCGCCGGATCTGCTGCGCGTCTGCAGCTGAAGCATCGAATCGGGAGGATTGGTGGGTGTGATGACAAAAGTAACCAGTTTGCACTTCCAAAAGGGCAATGTGGCCGAGCGGATCTTATTGGATCTTATTGGATCGTAGTGCGATCTTCGTGCAGTCTTCGATCGTGCGAAAGCAACAACGCGACGCCGTGTGGCCAATGCGACGAGAATAACAGTACGCGCGACCTTTCCTTCTTCATCGACGCCAAGCGACATGCCACGACCCGCGTTGCCTTTTGTGTGGTACGTGGTGTCAGCGCGCCGTCCCACCCTTTGCAATGACGCGAGGGTGCATGCACTGTAAATGCGACAGAGAAATGAAGAACCAACGACAAGCTGTCGTCGTCGTTCAGTGCCCCCGCCCGTGTGGCCAGTACTTGCTCCAACGCGGGCGGGTTCGCGCCAAATGCTTGCACCAATGGCTTTCATTGGTTTTCACAAACGTGCATATCCTTTTTCTTATTCCAATTTGATTGGCACATTTCGTCATCAATACGACGCAAGTCGAATGAAGGAGGACCATACGTTTGTAGCCGGAGCCCGTTATCTGTTGGTATGAATGGATCGTACCTGGTACAAGCACACGTGTATAAACATTGTTGCTAAACATTGTTTATAGACCATTAGAACACAGTGTGACTGCGAAAAGTGCTGTATTTGCCTGAAAACAGTGGCTCGTACAGCTTGCTCGCGCATTTCTTACTGCAGGAATTGATGACATTATTCTTTTGCCCGTCTCCTGACCACCGATACTCCAACCGTGCACCTCATTTGCTGAAATGACCGCGGTTCGATC